ATCATGTTTTGACTTCCTTATTTGTACCTTATGTTTTTTGATTTCTTGTGGTCATGCTACAATTCTTATGAGACCTTTCTTACCTTTTCCAGAAAATATTGGGTTGTTTGCCAATAAGAACATAGCAGCCGTGGATAATTTGGTGAAACAGAGAAGGGAAACAGCATGCCTTGGTTGAGTGTCTTGGTTAATGTGTTTCACAAATTTGTGCGGTTGAATTTATACTGCAGAATTATTTTGTAAATTTTACCGCTTTCACTTTACCTTAATTTTCTTATCTGCTATTGTTTTTTGCTCAACTATCCATGGGATCTCCCCAATTTTTTGCCTTGTTTATGATTAATATAGGATTAGTTAGAAAGATTGAAGTTAAATACTAGTCATAATTCAAGCTCCTTCTGCCAATTTCTGGATTTCAACCATTTCTTAAGTAGAAGTTAGATCTGTTTTTGGTCTTGTACCTTGTTGGATTTGATCTACTTTATTATTAGGGAATTTGTTTCTTTCTCATCCTATATTGATAGGTAAGTGGTTAATCCAAGTGAAAAGAGTTATGGTGTGCCAAGTAGCAAGTCAAACGAGATTTCTAGCATTAAAATATGAAAATGGTATTGCTGGAAAACCAACCATTTTAGTTAGAGTAATTGCATGCTTTCAACCAATGGAGGATTGCCATGTTAGTTAATTTTTAGTTTCATATAATTCCTTTTTCCTCTTTCTAACTGTTGCTCCAATAATCCTTCATTTCTTTGTATTAATCATTTTTATAAATGGCTGTTAAATTGATATCATGTCAATTTTGCTGTTTTCCAGGCTGAGAACTTTCGTCATTTGTTTAAACCTGTAACGAAGATTGTTTCCATATCTGTGGTATATTATCAAGCTGGAATTTGTAGTTTTTCTTTCAACATTTATTTGTCAAAGAAGCGTTAAAAATTTGACAATCGAAGATTGAGTATTGTCCATCTCCTGGTATGTTGTTACCACATACAACATCTTCTTTTTCATTTTACTAGTTTTTTGGTTCATTTCCTGGGTTAAAAAATTTAATTCTTATTTTTCATCTGCAAGGAGATTGTTTTAGTTGAATGGTTCAGACCAACATTTCTTGGTTTTTACCACAGCATTCTTCGTGGCAACTGCCCAAGTTAAATTGCATGAGCACATCATCAGAGCCCACGCAACCAGAATGCTTGCCTGTATGTATAAATCCCAGCACTCACATGTTTTCCGAGAGTATGTCAATGCCGGCGTATCTATTTCCTGGTTCAAATCCGGGCATTCATGTGCTTGCTGCAAATATTGCAATGCCAGGGCCTGCAGATATTTCTGTTTCAAAAACAGAACAAAAATATCACCCTCATGAGTTGCTTCAGCAGCAGTTATGCCAATGTTTCCCGACTTCATTGCCCTCTCCAGGTTCACATCTCAATGAACAGTAATTCATGACTGCTAAGGGGCACAATGGCAGGGCTACATTTAATTTGGTCTCTAGCTCCTCGCAGAAAGGACTGGTATTTTTTGATCAGTTAGGGAGTCAGACAAGGTTAATTTATGGCTCGGTTCACCCTCCATCTCAGCATGCAATCACTGCCATTACAGCACTAGGTTCTTGTCTTGATTTGCTTGAAAGTGAAGCAGTTAAAACAAATCCTTTTACTTTGAGACTACCAACTTTATTGGAGCAATATGATGAAAACCATTTGACTGTTGAAGACACTGAAGAACTCAATGCCTTACTTTACTCTGATGAAGAGGATCATGATTATCATGATGATGATGATGAAGTAATGAGAACTGATCACTCACCGATTGGGATTCAACGAAGCCACCAGAGTGAAGACCATGATGATACAATGGAGGAAGTTGCTAGCTCTGGTGCTCCAAACAAAAAGCAAAAGCTGCTGAAAGGTGGACATAATTCATCAATAATGGTGGATGCTGCTTGGTCAGTGAAATTGGAATGCTCTCACGAGTATGATAGTGATGCAGAATCAAGCTATGCCATTGGACGTAATCAAGTAGAAGAAATGGATTCCATCTTACGTAATAAGATGTCAAAGAAGATAAGATTCGCTTAACGTTAAAAATTCTTGAGAGCATAATATCTGGTGCCAAGGGAAATAACCCATTGTTGGTCCTTAATGAATCTATAGATTACTTGAGGTCTTTAAAGCTCGAAGCCAAAACTTTAGGAGTGAACCACTACTAAGATGCACTCCCTTCTTTGTAGTGGGAAAGAAGGGAAAGAAAGAACCATTTCTTAGCTTGAATGACTGATGAATTTGAAATCACTACACTGTCTTTTGCTCTGTCAGGTCCTCCGTCTGTCATCTTTTACTTTCTCAAGGAGCTATATTCTGTATATAATGGGCCAATAGCGGTAGTGATGCAACTATCTGAATGCTATTAGCTCTTTTGTTTAAAGAAGGTGAAGGAAAAAAAGCGGGTTTTGTTTGTTGACCAGAAATGATTTCCTTTTTAGCTTTTTGTTAGGATTTTATTAAGGGAAAAAAGTTACCAAGGCTTTGAATGCACGGGGAGGCTGCTATTCGTGGTATGTGCTGTAAAACAAGGCACTTCCTTTTCTGGAAGTGTTGAGAGCCACCATGGATTTAGCACATGCGCGTTAGGTAACTTGGGTCCTACCATCCACCTTGTTCCTTTTCTCTTGATTTTATGGTTTGTCCTCTCACATTATCTGGAAAGCACATCATGTTTGATATTGATCTCCTTGAAGTATGAAGGCAAGTTTCCGGAGTTGGGATGTACATGCATGGAGAGCATCCTTTGTTTCCTTTCTTTTGGGGTCCATCTTCGATCAAATCATGTAGTAAAAGTTTGGCTTGTTTTCATGTGAGCGTTAAGAAGGCTCTGGTACTTGTGCAGTTACATGTGGTTGTAACGTGTGACCATAATCCTTCCTTGGGTATGAACTTTTTGGCTTTGCTTCTGGTATTTGCAAGGTTTTTGTTTGTATAATTTGATGATTTGTGTATTAATAGTTGGAGCATGAGCGATTGAGTTTGAGCCTCAACTATGAATGTGTTGTACTATCATTTCCAATAGTATGTGTGAAGTACAATATGTGTTAGTGATTTCTTTACTTTTCAAAAATGAAAATTGACAACAAAACAAGATTAATATGGCAGGTTAGTCCCTTGTAACATTTGCATAAAACACTATGTTCCAACTTCCAAGCCGCTTTTTTTTTTTTTTTCCTGACAGCAAGGACTTTTGAGACAATTTTGAGTTTTGTGTAGTTTTATTTTTGGGTCGATTTAAACAACTTTATTTACCGTTTTAATGAATTTATAAAAAAAGTATTCTTTTACAATCTTTAAGTGACTTTGAACCCAAATGAATTAAAAAAAATAACAATTTTTGTGAGCCAATCATCATTGATTAAGCTGTTTTTTTATTCGAGTCTTTTTCCTTAGCAAGCTAATCAGGAAATCCATTCTCATATTTTTACAGTGGATCGTTTGCCCGTGAAAGGATATTTATGTTTTGCTATACAAAATGATATAACTAACACATTAATGGTGATGGCTGCTATATAATAATTGTGAAGGTTATCTCGGGCGCATCTGACCAATCATTTTCCTTTCTGGTTTTCTTTTCTCGTCTATCAAGAGGAAGGAGGCAGAAAACAATGAGGGTAATGACTGGTGGGACGAGGTGAGCAGGTTTAGCGTAAATCTGGGTTTGGGAATCTAGTATTAGGAGAGATTTCTAGTATTATTATTGTTGGATGAAGGCTACATGTCCAAAGAATTCAATGATATGACATTGTGCTCGTAACCTAAATTTTCCAGAATATCCAAAATCTAAACCCAAATCACTCACTTGAGTTCTAAGTAACTTTGCAACTGACAGTGGCACCCTTTTGTATGAAGACTGGACTTCGAGCGATTTGGTTCATGCATTGCTTTTGTAAATGCCTACACTTTAGATTTTTATAAAATGTTATCGACAAAATGAGAACTATTAGATTAATTCTATAACCCGGATGATTTATTATTCATCAGGGAAGTTTGAGATGGTATATGTGGGCGTGACAAGGTTTAAATTAAGAAAGTAAAAATAATGGCAACTTGCTTCACATGCTAAGCTGCTTTAACTACTGCTAAAAGCTAGCAAAGATTCCAAAGAAAAAAAAAAAAACCTTCACTGATTAAGATTGTAGAAAATAGTTGATATAGAAATGGTGGCTTTTAAGTTTTACCTAAATCTTTCATTTCTTACTATTTCTGTGACATTCGTCCACAACTTTTAAGCCATACCCTTGAATAATTCTCAAGTAAAAAAAGATCCATGTCTTGTAAATTATCTTTTATAGAAAATTGTGGCTGCTGTTTTTAACCTTTTTGCTTGTTTTTCTCTCACTGTTTTTGTGATCATAATCGCTTTATCGGCTTTCAATCATGTTTGCTTTTGAACAATCTTATAATGCAGGTTATGAGACTTTAATTTCTATGAGCATTTCCCCCCTCTATTTTTCATTCCATGTTTACCAAATCCCTAGCACATCTCAAGGCATGACAAGAATGATGTGTTTGATGATATGTTTGGAAGTTTAGGACCAGCTTTGAATGATGATGTTACCAAGACAAAAATGACAGAATTCATAAAAATTTAGGCATGTGTTTTTTAATTTCTTTTTGTTAAATGGTGGGACTTGTTTTGCCCTTTAACCAAGCCCATGCATTTGCAGGTTTTTTTTGGTATTTGCTATATGAATTCTAGGCGACTGTTTCCCCCCTGATTTCTATCCAATCACGAATATCTCTCCATGTGATATTGAGCTTTTGTTCTGAGTTATAGAGAGTGCACCACATCCTTATCTCTGCATGATAAAATTATTGGTAGTTAATATCCTTGTATCTGCTTGACAAAATTATTGGTAGTTAACTGTCTGAATGTTTGATCTGGTTCATGATTTTCCATGTTTGATTTGAAACAATCTTTATTTCTGATAAGGTAGGGCAAATATGTGATGTGGATTTACTTGCTTAGGGCAATTGAAAATATAGTTTCCTTTGAAAACCAAGTACTAAATTGAGAATTACAGAAGAATAATCACACACACACACACACAAAGAATTCTCTAAAACAAATCAGTGAATCACACATTGAAAGACAAATTTACTTTTGTTTCATGGTGGTTTTTTCTCTTTTTCAAGGTAATTTCTGTAAACAAGAACACTACACTTCCTTAAATTTGAGACAAAAAAATGAGATGAATTTGAAGGAAAAAAGGCAGCAACACAGGATGGAAATGTGGAGGTAAGGCATCCCTTTCTTTTATTAATTCTATGGAATTCTTTTCTTTTCAGTTTTTCTTGGACCCTTTGTCCCTTATGAAATTGAATTTCTCCATCTTCTAGGTGTCTTTTTATTCTGATCAGCTGTGGTTGGGATTTGTGGTCCAATGTCGTGGTGTTCTGAGGTTGTCATCTTGGTGAGTTTGCTAAGTTTCTTCCATCCACTGGTCCATGCGGATGTCTGTTTCTGCTTTGACATCTTATCAAATTGTCGTTGCAAGTTCTCCAGGTCGTTTTGGAGCTCAAGGTACTTAGCCTTCACACTCTCCAGCTCAAACTTGAGTGTGTTAATATCCTTCTTAGCAGCTGCCCATCCTTCTTGGAACGATTGTGGTGTCCCTTCAAGTAATGTCCTACGGTTCGGTATCAAGGGCTGGTATTGAGTTTCTCCAGGATCTTTGAGGGTGCTGTTGGCCAATGCGTTGCTTATTTTCACTTGCTCGGAGAAGAGCACCTGCATCACAACTCGCAGTGGAAGCCTTTCATTTTGAGCAGCATGCATGCAGGCATCAATGGAGAGTTTTTGGCAGTCCATGACACGGCAGAGTCGCTTCCTTTCATGCTCAGAGAGTGTTGGATGGGCCTGTGAATTTGTTAACCAGAGATGAGAATTCCGAAGAAAAGAAATGTTCATGTTGACTCTATGGAAATTACAGTCCGTCTTCAAAAAATGGCTAGATCAAACTCCCAAAACTCCAAAATAAATTCACATGTCTATATAGAATCAGTTTAAAAGAAAAGGGGAAAAAGGGAATTACCTTAAGGTAGGAATCGATTGCCCGATAAAGTCCATCATCGCAGGTCCTTGCAGACTCGGGCAAAGCTTCTGCCAGAACCTGAAACTTTGTCAGAGACAGGTTTCTATCCCTGGAAACCTCTGTAAGATAACTATCAACTAGCCTAGCGACTCTCATCTTGGCATTTGGATTATTGCCCATTTGCGTTCCTTCATACATGTGTTTGTCAGAAAAAGATTGTCTACTTGGGCTCGAACTTTCTGTCTGCTCTTGAACAAGGAAATGCTCCAAGAGTCTCTGAACAAGGTCCACATCATACAATGTTTCACTTTTATTATAAGAAGGAATAAGAAGATCTGCCAGTGTAGCCTGTTCAAACTGCATTCCCACCCGCTTCTCCAATTCAGTTACCAAAGCAGGTGCCACTTTCAACATGTTTGCCATCCTCAAAAGCCGAAGAAGAAAACTGCATGACACAGTGTCTTTCTGTGGTGGAATTATGCTAATGAGACTTTCAATGATCATCCTTTGATCTTTGGCCTGAATGGATGGAGTGTCATCTTTAGTTCCCGCTACAATCATATGGAGTCCACCTTTCCAGCTACTGCTGCCACTGCTATTGCTATTGCTGCTAATGCTCATATCATCTGCTTGCCCCTGACCATCTTTTATCAAACCTTGAAGCCATTTGAGTGCATAATGCATTATTGAAGCCCCAATCAATTCAAATCGCATCCCCTTGACCTTGATTGCGGTAATAACCCTTACAAAGTGGTCAATCCTGAGGATTGAAACATCTTCAAACCACCAATCAGGAGGAACAGGCTGGCTTCTACTGGGGCTTGAATCCTTCAAATCTTTCCATTTGGGGCTAGAAACTTGAGTGGGTTTCCCGGTATATGCCCATTTGATTCCTTTTGGATTGGCACAAGCCTTCCAAGCTATTGACTCACTGCATCTCCGCACAATTTGAAGGTTTTCAGCCCATGGTGAGAGCTTTTCACAACTTTTTAGTACAAGTATTGAGTCTCTCCAGGAGGATAGGACCACATAGCTGAGAAATGCTTCAGTTTTGAATATAAGATTGCCCTCTTCCAAGTCCTCTGTCATCTCAAGGTACTCTGCAGCACATCTCAGATCAGATATATTCCCTGCCGTTAAGTCTACTGCAATACCATAGCAGAATTTTGCAGCTAGCTCAAATGCCTCAGGTCCTCCAGGAAGATCTTCCAAAACAATTTTGTTCAGGTCTGGTTCGTGTGACTCATATATAAGCCTATTCATCTTTCCACTTCGGGAAAGCAGGGGATACTTCCCCAAGTTGAGAAATACAGTAAGTCATATGATTTCAGATAACTGAAATTTGAATTTAGAAGCTTTTGAAGGATATAAAAAAATTTCAGACATCTAATCAGAGAAACAGCTACCTTGTGCAAGTGAAAATTGACATCTCCAACCTGAACTGGGAGGTCACTTGGAATATCAGTAGCAACGTACCTGCACAAAAGACAACATATTTCAGAAGCTAACTTGCTCTAAGTTCTTGTTCTGAAATTGCACATGCAACCCCCCCCCCCCCCCCCCCAAAAAAAAAAAAAGAAGAAAGAATCCACCAAATATATCACAAGATGACATGATGAACATACCAGGACTGGCCCCTAAGCTCAAACCCATCAGTCTTGACGGCATGTTTACTGGAGCTAAGGACTCCATTCCGATAGCAACTCCCTCTTACAGATTCAGTCTCTGACTCCCACATATTGAAAAACAAAAGGCCTAAGGGAAGTTGAACAGGGGTTTCTTTTCTCAGGGAATGTGGCTCTCACACCAGAGAGGAGGAGAAGAGGGAAAAATGAAACACGCAGCAAGAACCGAACAACAAAGAAAGAGCTGATGAGGAGAAGAAAAGGAAGAATCCCACATGGGATGCTTGGAATTATCTTTGAATTGTCGGATTTTCAAGGCTTTCCTTACAGGCTGTGAAGTAATGGGCAGTATAGTATCTTACTGTTTTTTGAATCATTTTGGTTTTACATTTCTCTTCACTGTTTGAAATTTAGACACTTTTCTCTATGCATAATAAAAAAAAAAATTGTGGGAGATTCAGTTTCTTTTCTTCTCTTTTCCACTGTTATTAGCTTGCATCTCTCATCCTTTGTCTTTGTCCCTGTTTTTCATTGCCATTTTTTTTATTTTTAAATATCATTTCTGTAGTATTACATTTCCGAAAAATAACATTCTTCAATTTGACAGAGACAGAACAGAACTAAGTTTACGTAGCAGGTGTTCGGCGAAAACGTTGAATCAAAAAAATGCCACTGATTTATCCAAGTTTGTAGATTGATCCAAGAACATTGCAATAATCAACGCAAATTGTATCGTATTTTTCAATATTTTTTTATCCCGATGACCCAGAAGTGAGCAGAGCAGTTTATAGTCATCAATGAAAACAATATGATGAACTTTCTATGAATTATTAAATTTAATTATTAGTTAGTTCATTCTATCGTTTTTCATTTTTTTTTTATTTTGCGTTTTTGTAATCTTACCACTTGACCAGAACCCTGTTTGAAACATCTGGTTCAAGTGGGCTACATTTGGGATTAGCTTTGTACTACTCTTTTCAATAATAAATATTGGTATACTTTTACTATTCCAGAAAATTCAGCATATATAATGGACCCCATGGCACTGGGCAAGCACCAAAGAGTGTCTGTCCCCCACCAAAAGAATTGAAGCAATTTGGAAGATCGGAGTGGTAGAGTCCATTTGATGAAAGGCATATGATTATTTATCTTCTACTCTGCTGCAAAAGTACTGTGTTTTCCTTTTATATGATATTTACTGTGTGAGGAATGATAAGCATTCCACCACCGTGCACTTGGACTGGCTAGCCGGATTTCTGACATGAGAAGTTTCCCTTTTATGCAAGGCTGAAGGCTGGTGTTATTCCCCCCCCCCCAAATCCTCGGTCCTCAGTCAAAGCCGCAGTCCAAAAGTGTAGGACTTTTCACTATTCAGCAGATACGTTTGTTTTCCTTCTGCCCATTAGTACATGCCAGTTTCCAGCATACATGCATATTATTACATTTACAGTCTTATTTAGAATGAAAAATAGTCAGACATAAATCACTAAAATGAGAGAGAGAGAGAGAGAGAGAGGCAATGGGCAATGAACACAACCCTCCAACCAGACAGTGATGGGGATAAGGAGAGTGGGGCCAATGATTGGTCCAGTGGGTGAGTAGTGAGTACATATGCGGTCTCCATCTTTCAATCTAGTGGAGGTGGATAATCTTCTACTTGGTGTTTGATTGGGGATTGATCACGATCAGGTCTTGCTAATGTGAAACATAAACACCAAATTACTCAAATGAAGTGTCAAATCCTTGTTTCAATTACGTTTTCCAACCCTAGAGCTCTTTCCTTCTCCTGCTTGCTTTATAGTAGTATAGTAACAAAAATTGTACGGTAAGCAATTTTTTTTTTAACGAAGTTTGATTTAATGGTAAAGAAGAGATTTTAGAATTTTAAAGTTTTAAGTTCAAGTTTCACTTAATATGAGTTTTATTGTTTAATTATATTTTAGTTTATAATTGATTATTTTGTGATTGCATCTTAATTATAATGTAATAATTAATTAAAAAATAAAATATATTTGCATATATGGTATTTTTTTTTTCAAGTATTTGTTAGAACCCTAAATTTCTTTTTTTCCATTACTAAAGATGGAAAACAACCCTAAAATTTTTAAAAATAGACTCTAGCTAGTTTAGATGAAGTAATTGACATAAAAGATAAGTTTTTAGTTTTGGAAGCATTACTGCAAATTAACACAAGGAAAGGAAGTGGTCCATCAATGGAGCTGCCTTTTCTTCTGGCAGGAAAGGAAGAACACTTCCCAGTTGCAGGCTGCATTTAAGTCAGTACATTGTGTCCTCTACTGTATTTGGTGATTCCATTTCCATGGTAGATACTTCCTCTCACTCAAATTATTTGAGTGTTTTTTATTTTTATGAAATTTAGAACAAAAATTTTATTTTAATTTATTTAATATTAAAATTTATAATTTATAATTTTTAATATCAAAAACAAAAAAAATTATAAAAAATAAAAAAATAAAAGTTTTAAATATTCAAAAAAATAAATCATAATTTTTAGACATTCTAAAAAATAAAGATTAACAAAGGAAAAAAAAAAAAAGAGACAGGAAAAAGTATAATATAATATCCTTAATTTGTTCTCCAATTTTTTTTATCGCTGTTAACCCATTTCTTAATTTAGGGTTTTGTGAATTAATAACTATTTCATTACATTTGAATAAGCTACATTAGTTTAAAGTCGAATTTAAAATTTAATTTAATAAATTTATATAATAATTTTTAAAAAATAATATTGAATATATTTAAATTTTAATGCTTTCAGTCTATCCCTCTATTTTTATATTACAATTTCCTTCATAAAAAATAATAATTCCAATCCTAATTATAGCATGTCATCCCAAACTCACAAATTTAAGAAACTCCAAGAACTCATGTCTCTTTCATTACAATAATTTATGTATTAAAATAATATGTTTATATCAATATTTCTTCATGAGTGAAATTTATATATTAAATTATTTACACACGTGTAGTGAAAATTATTATTCCTAAATGCACATAATTATAACATAAAATATAATTTAATGCAAATAGGGGCGTCAATAAAATATTGAGATTAAATGAAACATTTATACTATAAATTTATTTTTGATGTATTATTAATAAATAAAATTTATATACTATTAAAAAATTAAAAAATGTCAACTCATTAATAAAAATTTTTTCTGATTAAATTTTTTGTATAATTATTTTAAAAATTAATAAAATTTTATATTTAATCATTAATAAAATAATATCATCTAATTCATTAAAAATATATAAAATTTATATATCCATACATGACACACTTTTTTTTTTTCATTAAAATATAGACTTGATAATTTAAAATACGATACGATAATATGAAAAAAAATATACAATATAAATATAAAACACAAAGGTAATATGACTTAAAATTTTAACAATAATTATATCTAAATTTAACAAAATTAAAAATATATTTTATATTTTTATATTGATATAAATTATGATATTTAATTTTTATATAAAATATGATATAAATACATAAATTTTAATATTTATATAATATAAATATAAAAATATTCAAATCTATCAAAATATATTTTCTATAGTTTTAAAGTATATTTGCTACCTTTCAAGTGGATCACCTTTTATTTTAATAAAAAATAGTAAAAAAATTATAGATTATCTTAGGACTTTCTACTCAATAATCAATGTGACTTTAAAAAAAAAAAAAACTCTCTTTCTTTTTAATTATGGGGCTCTGCCACTATAGATGCACAAAAAGTGTTACTAATTTGTATATTGTTCAGATTTTATATTATTATCATAGACAAGGATATTATTAGCGAAAATTACTTAGCTGATTTCACGGCGTTTCCGAAAAAGTAACCAACAAAGAGTTTCTACGTACTAGCAATCACTCCTCTCATTTAACACCCAATGATTCTTTATTGTTGCATTTCATTATTATTATTGTTGAAATGGCCCACAAAATGTCTCCCTCACCGCCCCAATCCAATTTTATCTCATTGTTTCTTTGTTTTTTGACTTTGTGTCTCTCAAATTTATGAAATTCCAAATTGAACTCTCGGATTTAGAACCACCCCTGACCTGGAGGCTGAGCATCGGCCATGATGGGCAGGCCAAGGGCGAGTGCAAGCTGGAGCAAAAAGAACAAATTTTAATGACATGACCTGATCTGTCATCAGCTGGTGGTGGAACCGAGCCACGTATCCCTCCATTCTCTCGGCACATGCGTGTCCCACTTCGTTGTTGGAGATTGACCACACATGGCTGCAAGGGCTGGTTTGGATGCAACCGGATTTTCGGTGGAAGGTTACTGGCCCTTTTTTTTTTCTGTTCATTGTCGGTGGACACTCAAATAGGTGATCGGTGCAATGCAGTGAAGATCAGTTTTCCACTGATCATTTTTAATTCAGTAGGGGGTCGATGAATATTTTTTTTTCGCCTCAAATCATACTTTAATATCAATTGATTTTTTTGTCCTTTTTTAATTTTTATTTTAAAAAAATAATAAAAATTTGATTTTTATTAAAAATTTATAAAAGAATTTTATTATACAATGAATAATTTAAATAAAATTTTTATTTATTAACAAATTTTATATAATAAATAATTTTTTAATATTAAAATTTTTTAAAATTTTATTATTATTTATCTTTTTATTATAATTTATTTTACCATTATCACTATATTTACATAAAAAAAACATATTTATATCATTAATTTTAATTATTATTACAATAATTAATTTTATTTTTATCATTATTTTTAATTTTATCATAACTAATATCATTATCTATGATAAATGAATTATTAACCACTATATTTAAACAAAACTGCTGCAAACATTCTCAGCTTGTCGATATTTGAATTGAAGCTTTTATGTCTGCTTGTAATGTAAAATTTAGGTAGGCAGTAAAATTAATTTTAATAAAATAAAAAATAATGATAAATATGAGATTAATTATTATAATTGTAAAATTAAAATTAATTATGAAATATATATTTAAATACAAAAAAAACGGTGATAATGAAGTAAATTGTAAAGAGAAAAAAATATTATTAAAGACATTAATAAAAATTTATATGTAATAAAAAATTTAAATTATTTAATACTTATAAAATTAATAAATAATTAATAAATATTAAATTATTTTTAAATTAAATAATAATTTTGTTAATAAATAATTAAAATTTATTATTAGTTTATTATATAATAATAAATTTTATTTATTAATTTATTATATAATAACATTTATTTTACAGTAAGTTAATAAAATTACTTTATAATTTTTAAATAAAAATCAAAATAGAAAAATAAAAAAATAAAATGTAAAGTATTAAAGTTGTTAGCTTGAACGAGAGAAGCGTTAACAAAAAAAATAAAGCAGTTGCATCGAGCCACTGAAAATTTGATCTCCAATAAAAAATTGATAAAAATCACACTTTTACCGGATGCATGTTTTAATCCAAATCAAACCTTAGACAATGCTGAGAGATTCCAACGAATCTATTTTTAAAAAAAATTATTTATAATATATAAAAAAATATCGATGAATTTATTAATTTTGTTATTAAAAAATATTTTTAAAAATTGAAAATGTTTAGAATTTTTTATTTTTAATTTTTAATTTTTAAAATATCCATTAAGACTGTCAACAGATTTGCTTTATTGCTTCCATTGTAGTAAAATTTTCAAATCAAAATGAAAATGCAAAAAACATGTTGAGGTCCCACCCCCACCCTCCTTTGTTGAAGTCGATAGTTTAGAAAAAGAAGTAACATGTCGAGTGATGGCCAAAGCCCATATCCAGATAGCTTTATTTTAGGAGGGACCTTTCATAGTTTGATTGTTTTCAAGGATGAGAATTCCCTGTCGCTCCCTCTCATGAATCATGATGGAAAACAAAATTTTCCCACTTTTCCTGATGAATGCTATTTTCTCTTTTTTTTTGGCATTTCATCATTCGATTTCAATCGGAGTTTGGTGGACCAAGCTGACTTGGCAATTGGAGTGTGATAATGAGGTCTACTTAATATCAGACCTGAAAAGCAAAAAGGTCTAGTTGAGATTGGGCCGACTTAAAGTGAATAATCCAAAGAAATTAGGACATTTTTCTTATGCTCTAGGACTATGCCTTTTTACCAAAAAAAAAAAAAAAGCATGCTTGAGGACCCGACATTGAAATCAAATGAAACTTGTTCTTATTGCAGGTGAATGAGGATTATTCATAGATATAACTCTATTAATGAAAATTAAAAATTCCAAAAAAAGAAAAAGGAGTGAAGTACAAAATTCGGACCCAAAAAGGAAGGAAGACCAATTAACTGCAACCACAAGTTTTAATCGAAGCTGATTCATGTTTATAAGCCTCTTTTTACTTCTTTGTTTTAACCTCATTTAGAATATTTTTAGCCCACTCAGCAAAATGGGTTTCATTTTATCCAATTCCACCACTTTTGTAGAGTGACGATCGTCATCTGAGTAGGGGCCATTTTTCTCCCTATCAGGGTCTCTCCATGCGCCTCAGAGCCTCATCCTGGACCAGCTAGCCATCCAAATGATACACGTACTGGCCTACGCCAGCAAGTTTTAGCTATCCTTTGGTAAAGAACTCAATCAGGCTGCTGTTTTGATCCATTAGGAAGTTGGTCAATTGGCCCCACGTGGTGACATTAGAATATCTTTTAAACTCATTAGCTTCACCTGGATCAAACAAGTAATTAATTACCAAACAGGGTCAAGCTTTTCTTATCCATATGAATTTTTTTTTTTTAATTTTCCGTTCGTTTGAATAGTTAAAGGACTATTTATATTGCCATTTTCTTTTCCAGATAACGTCAATCCAATTTGATAACTTGTTAGACGAATTAGCTAAATCATAACAGCTCTGAGTAAAGACACATATAAAGCACAAGTATCAGTGAAGTCGGTGAGTAGGTGCTGCCTGCATAGCAGCAAATACCAGTCCTTGCGGATGATTAAGAAAGTTAAAAAAACTGATTAATTGAACTGCATGCCCAAAACATACCCAATGCCCAATAAAATGCATTTTCTATTTACATAGCAAATCGGCAAATTATAGGCTTACAGTAAGTCATGCTAAAGCCAGAGACCAAATCCTTCACATCAAACTTAAAACAAATGTTTTCCTAACAAAAAAATAACAGAAGTTCAGGTCATACAACATACCAATTAGAAGAGTCGGCTTATTATAACGGTCCTTAGTATTTGCCTTCCAGTCAAAGCTTCAGTCATTGTGAGCTATCTTCCATGGTTATAAGCACTTTGTTACATTTAAAATGCTGTACAGAGGCTGTTGACCTTAATGTTAGAAGAACACTCTTGTTGAACAGGACCACTGGGGACACATAACCTAGTTCTTTTTGGTTCAGATATCCTCACGCGTGAAATTGCGACAGTGAGAGCATCAACCAACACACAGTCCTGCACTTCTGACCTAGTAGATGAACTTTCAGATGATAAAAACAGGAAAGAATCATCATCGAGAAAGCCACAGGAAATTATCTTGCTTCTCTCCGACACTACCCCAGGCGGGACAGTCAGTTGTTGGGAAGTCAGCCATTCATGGCTTCTCACTTTTGTCTTCAAAGCAACCATCTCCACTGTTGCTTCAGTGTGGAACAATATCCATGGATGCCCTGGAAAATTTTAGTCATATAAATGCATCAAGAGACAAGATACAGAAATTGGATATCAATGCATTTTTTCTCTCTTTCTGGCATTTAATTCCTTCTTTGCAAAACTACAAAATAAATAAGCATATAAACTCTTATATAATTGCTCCATTTTCCCATCTATTTATGCACAAACTACAGTCATATCTAGTGTCTATGGATCTCATTCTCTTCAAAGTATATGGCAGTTTAATCTAAGATGTGGTTAAACACAGGTTAGAGCCTTCTGGTGTTCTACATGAATTCGTTGATGCCTTTTATCAGATGTTTTCTCTGAGCAGAAGATGGGTGGAGGAATTATTGAGCAGTTGATCTAATAAAGTGGAGATGGTACCAAGTTCCTAAAGCAAGATGAGGTGAAACCCTAATGCAGAAATTAAAGCTAATGGCCCAGAAGAGATCAATACGTTGACTTAGGAAGGCAATAATCCATGGACGCTTCTGTAGCATTCACCATTTGTGGAATCAGGAGTGCATAATAAAACGTGAATAGTGGCATGATACTACAATGTCTCCCATAAAACAGCCACTAATGAAATGCAAATGAAGTGCTTTACATTTATGCTTGGCAGATCAATGGAACTATTCTCAGCACAGTCAAGTTTCAATGCATTAACCACAGTGTTTTCTATAACTAGATATCTATATTGTGCCATGCAGCCTTAAATAATTCAGGAAAAGTATTGAGAATACACTATATGCTTACTTAATACTTCATCAGCAGTTAACCTTGCTGAAACATCTCTTGTCAGCATACGGGCAATCAGATCCCGTGCAGGTTGAGAGATGGACCTCCATGCTCCATTCTCAAAATCAAGGTTCACATACTTGATAGCCTGAAATACTGAATCCAAAGTATCACCTTGAAATGGAAGCACACTAACCAAGAGAACATGAAGGAGGACACCAGCACTCCAGATGTCAACTTTTTCAGAATAATTGCCCAGTAAAACTTCTGGGGCAACATAAGCTGGACTCCCTACCACACCTGTCAAGCTCTGACCTAGAAGAAAGAAAGCAAGATGTTCATTTAGACAAAGTACCCATAATTGGTTGCTGTGATATAGACAGTAAATAACTTAAATGGAAAGGCAACACAAAAAATAACAAACCACAATTAGACATAGATGACACAACACATTTCAGTTCAAACAAATGCATTATTACATGTTGTCATTTCACTAAAAAAAGGATCATGCTACACAGCTGATAGCATTCATTCCCTAGAGAGAAAACCTTGGATATCTTCTTTCTGCCCTTTAGCCTCTTCTCATATTTTTATAACTTTCATTTTAGCTGCAAATCTAACATGCATGTCAACATACCCTCAAAATCCAACAAGAATTTGATTTAAATCCAAAGCAGTTGGATGCTTGATTTATCCAACAATTTACTTTTTGCATCAATCATGATTCACCACCCTTAATCTACTGAAGACTCAAAGTTGTATACCCAAAGGAGCAAATGCTGTATGAGAAAAGAAACATAAAGAGTCAACTAAAAGTTGACAAGTTTAAATAGTCCAGACTCCAAACATACCCATGACTATTAAAAGGCCAGAATAAATTTGAAAAAGAATTACCATTTGACATCCTCACAGCTAATCCAAAATCTGCGAGCTTCATCTGTCCAGAAGCTGTAAGAAGGATATTCTCAGGTTTTATATCCCGATGAACAACACCCATATCATGGCAATATTTGATAACTAGAACCAGTTCCTTGAGTATATTAGCAGCACAATACTCTGAATACTGGCTCTCTTTTGCCATCTGATCAAGCAACCGTCCCCCAGAGCAGAGCTCCATCACAAGAAAGAATGATTTCAAATCCTCATATACTGCCTTCAATGTCACAATACCAGGATGACCAGAAAGGTGTTGCATTATCTCCACTTCTTGATGTACAAATTCTTCACCCTTGCATAATGTTTTGCAAGCAAACTCTGCGCCATTCACCTTACTTCGACACAATACAACAGATCCAAACTTTCCACAGCCAATTGTTGCACCCAAATCATAATCTTGGTCAATCTTCTTTTTCCGACCCAATTGAGTTGCTGCATCAATACACCCAATTTTCCTCTTAAGGCCCCTGTTGGGTGGTTCCAAACATGCACTCCCACAAGGTGGGGCAGTGGCAATTCCTTTGACTACACTCATAACAGAGCCAATAGCCACTTTAGCTTCATCTTCCTTACACTTCTTTTTCTGCTTCGTGTAATCTTCCAGAGATAAGTGAGACCAAACAACTGTTACAGTAGTGAAGGACCTACGACATGATGGCAACACTTCCGGGCCCTTTCTCTTCTTCCTCAAGGCCTCCATTAAACATTCAGGGAAGGCTACTTCCCAACATTCCTAAACGTTAAAACTACCAGGAACCCAGCAAGGCATTGGATTTACTAATTTAATATCTTAAGTCCAACATTTCTTAAACCTAACACTGAACAGCTAAATTCCTTCCAGCAAAAATTAAGTACAAACTAATTTCTCATAAAGGTAAATATTTAGCACTTCCGGCATTTCCAGCAGAAGGCTTCAATCAGACGACACCATTATTCTATTTATTTAGGTACCAATTAAACACAATATCAAGAAGCCATTTAGCAAAGGTTAAACCTTAGACACCAGAAGCTACTTATTCTCATTCTTTCGACCCATATGAACAGACATAGCAGAAATTCTCAACATCGATCCACTTGGATTTGCAAATAAAACCTGAAAACATAAGAAATCAAATAACTAATGAACCCCAAAATGACTATAGAGAAAACGAGGAAAAAGCAAAGGCATGCAAGTATGCAACTATTAACAGAAAGAGGTGGTTAAAAATAAAAAAAGCTTCTTTATTTGCTATGAACTTTATCATCTTCTTCTTTTCTGAATAAAGATCAGACGAAACAAGAATCACTAGTGTTTGAACTACTAATAAGATCCATCCTTGAATTCCCTATACAAATATTTAAGAAAAAACCCAAAATCTTAGAATATTCTTCCCATTTCCTTTCTCATTGGAGAGGGAGAGAGTCAAAATAGAAAAAGAAAATAGTTGACTGATGAAATCATATCAACCACAAGGCTTTTAGTTCACTGAGAGATTAAAGCACTAAACCCTTCACTCACCAGAACGTAACCCAGAGAGGGTTTCTCAGCAATCAAACTGATTTCTGTCTAAAACAAATACTTCGAAAAAAACTAGTTGCTTTCTGGTTTTGATGATAATAATAAAACCATAAAAAATGAAAAAAAATAAAAGAAGAAGAAGAAGCAAAGGGAAAAAAAATGCACTACCTTATCGGAGAGGAAAGTGTGAGGGAAAACAGAGGGGTATGATAGAAGTATTAAGGAGGATTAAAAGAGGGTTTGATTGAAAGGAAAGTTTCATGCTTTGAATACTATTTTCCTGTGTCTTTCTTTCTGTCTGTCTGTCTCGGCTGAGTGAAGAAAGATAGAGAGAGAGAAAGTGAGAAACAAAGGCACGTGAAAACAACCGCCAGTGCGTTGCTTCCACGGTGTGCTCTTTGTCTTGCGCGCCTCTTTATTAACTGCTATATCCATGTCGCTGCAGTAAGCAGTGTAATACTAGTCATACCAATTATGAATACCATGTCGCTCCGGTAAACAGTGTAAAAGTAATTTTAAAAAATGTGACTTTATTTTCTTTGCGCGGCCTGTTATTTGCCCATTTCCCGTTCTAAATCCAATTGAGATTTGCCAACCGCCATTTGATTAGGATTTGGACAATGGAAACTTAATATAAATAGAACATCATAGTTTCTAGTACAGAATTCATAGAAGTAAAATTGCCAAAGATGGGGCCTCTAACAAAAAAAACTAGTGTTTGTTAGACAAGTTTTTGGTGAAAATTTGGAACAGGAGTTTCATATGATCCAACACGCAATTGCTCAATATCTTTTTGTGACGATGGACGGAGAGTTCCGGATACAATCGTCAAACTTTCCTTGTGCACTTTCTGTCTCATGAAAGCCAACGTTCATGTACTAAATGTTAGCACATAGGATTGGGAACTACTGACTAATTAAGAACAAGCCTCAAGGCAAGTTATTTGATGATTAATTAATATGCAAAAAGATTTATCTATAAATCTTGAACAGACAATGAAATCTATAAATCTTGAACAGCATATGAAATCTAGTGATTAATTATGTTTTGAATTAACAAAATCAATAAGTCCCACATATTATATGTAATTCAAAAATTAAATAATTCTATTTTTGCACCAAAGAATGCCCAATCGAATTTTTTTGTAAATATAAAATATTATCAGTCAAACAATTATAAATACAAAATATTATTAATCATTAAATTTTATTATATCTTCAAAATTTATATGTGAAGAATATTTTTGCATGTCAATTAATGAAGTGACGAAGATTAAGTAAGTGGTGAAGATGAATAAAGTAAAGTGATACTACTACACTACTTGAAACCTGTTCTCAATAATTCCCTACCCCATGTTCTGCCACAAAATACCACTAAGTATCACTCGACGTCAAGTCCAATTATATAGAGAAATAGATGCTTTTGCATATTCTAATTCCAAAATTTTGGCCCTGCTCAACTTTCTCGCTTCTAGCAATTGTCTGCTTCCATTTCCCATACAATTTCATAGTATAAAAGCCATTTAAATAGGTAACTTTGTTGAATTCTGAAAAAAGAATAATAATAAAAAAAAAAGACACAAATTTCCCTTCTAATGCTAAATAATCCATATTCAAGATTCCAACATAACTAATTGGTACGTTTAGAAATTCACTCCAATTTTTAAAGCATTATATGTATACCAACAAAGAGTTTCACAAGCACTTAGACATTAAGGGGCAAAAATGAGAACAAAACTTGAGCTCTACAAGATGTGTGCTCAGCTCCAGCATTCCTTTTCACTTCATCCATCAGTTTTTAAGAGAGTATGGTAGCTCATCTCGCTATCAGTTGTGAAAAAAAAAAAAAAAAAAAAAGGCAAAAAGTTTAAATTTCAGGTGTACGTGAACCACCCCATGCTTCAAAAAGTGGGTGTTAAAAAAAACTATCACCAGTAGCAATAGTCGGCCATAACTTGGAAAACCAATTCAGTCACTACAAGGCAAGGCTGCAGTAATTTTAATCATGCTTTTTTTTTCATATCCAGAACTCCAGCCTCCATGGAAGTATTCTCACAAATTTTCTTTCCTATCCACATTTAACTCCAACAGATTCCTACTCATTTGTGGGACAGCAATTTCTCTGAATCAGAAGCAAATGTAAGCCATTGGCTTTCTCAGTTAATGCAAAATCTGCAAATGCTCTCAAAATCCTATTGCAGGCAGAGATATCAAAATCTATGGTGGTGGACTGCTTCCATTGATCAATAACCTCTCCCACTTCTTTCAAACGCCCAAGAGTCAGATACGAAGAAAGAATGCATATGCAATTTCTGCTTGTCATTTTCTGTTTGGTCATTCTTAGAGATTTCCATATCTGATAAATTTTATCTTTGTTTCCCAAGCCTGTCTACAGCATAACAAGGAAGCCATAAGTTATCCATTCCCTTTGTGTGATGCCCTTCTCTGTTCCAATAGGAGAGCTGGACTCAGCATTTGCAAGATGACCAGCAGTTACATAAACATCTATGAGGTTGATATATCTCATCCAACCATCATTGCAACTAGAGTCACATCTCATTTCATCCAGATTACTTTTAACTTGATCTATGTTCAGAGCTGCAGCACACGAACTTATCCAAAGATTATATGTAAAGATATCTGGTGCAACTTTCTGTCTTTTCAGTTCTTCTACAACGGAAGAAACCTTCTCCACCTGCCCAACTGACATGAACAAAGTCATAATCTCATCGTAAGTAAGGGCAGAGAATGACACGTCTGACCCCTTTATCATCTCATAAAGTTCTTCCGCCTTTTCAGTCAATTTTGTCACAGCATAAGAATGGAGAAGAGCTGTGTATGTTTCACTAGTCTTTGCAGTTGAAGGTAAGTCTTCAAAAGAGCGTTCAGCAGCATCAATACCAAAAACTTTGTCATCAAGTGAATATGAATTGCATAGTCAGTAGCTGATAACTTGTACTCTTCATGATTAACCATCCATTCTGGTATCTGCAAGCTTGAATAGGTAAGATATGAGAATTGAGCATCAATTCTAACTGTAAAATCAAAAGCTTCACCAACTCTAAGCATAAACATTTTCACACAGATGCAAGGTGAAACTTTGTTTCTGATATTCCTATGTTTGATTGTAATCAACCAAAAGGTATTTTTAGAAGTGGGGAAAAGAAAAAGAAACTAACCCAGATGCTGCAAGGTGCAACTTAATAAAGAATACTAAGGATAACACGAAAAAGGATTTGAGATTTCCCTAGATACATAAAGATGTTGGACCTTTGTATTTCACAATCCCAAAAAAGTCACCTTGAACATCAACAAATTTCCCACCATAACCAACTTTCACTACATGCCCTCTTATAACTGAAAAAACACCTGAAGTAATAAGTGACACTAACAGGACAGCACAGCAATGTACTCAACTTATTGAAGTTGAGGGTGGAAGCGACAAGCAAGTTTTAATATTTCATAAAAGAAGCAAAGGAAGACTTCTACAAGCAGGCCTAGAAAGAGAGGAGACAAGACCCAGGTATTCAATGACAACATGACGAGAAAGCCACTGCTGTGATCCAGCTAAAGATCCAAGTTAGCCAAGTAGTGAGCTTAATGAGTTGCTTCGATCTTATTAATCAAATATATATTAGAAATTCTCTCTTTCGTCGTGTGTATATCCACAGATTAGACCATTCCCCAGTTGATAAGATTCCTAATCAATGGATTAATATGACCCCAATTGGCCAATCCTAGTTACTGAAACCTAAAGAATCAAGCATTATATCTGTCATGCCACAACTGATGAAATTTTCATCAAGTGTTATTAATCTAAATAACTATTACTAGTTTCTATAGGGATAACAAAGCCAACCCATCACAGAAAACTCTTAATTTCATTCTAATTATCTTAATTACTACTATATATATATAAATATATAAATTTTTCTTGGAGGAAGACAGAAGGAAAAGTACCTCGAGAGCATGCCAGAAACACCGGGATTTTCTAAGGTCTTTAGAAATTTGGTGGAGGTCAGAAATGGAAACTCGGTTCCACCCATGTCTCGATTATAGTGGTGGTGCTCCCCTTCAGAAGCCGCAGCCAAAAAATGCGGCTTTTCAGATCGTCGGTTTCCGAATTATTCGGATATTCTTCCACGCATTGGTGCCGGCGGCGCCCGAAGCCAACAGCCTTGAGAAGCCGCAGTTGCTGCATTTCCTGCATACATATCTATATATATATTTCACAAATTTGAAAATTTAATCTTTGGGAAACGAAAGACACTCAAAAACAGCTAAGAAGAGATGTAATGGGTTCAGTTTAATAAATTTCTCTCATTTTTTTCTTTTTATTGGAATTGAGAAAGTATGGGAATAAAGATAATTACCGTCTGTAGACTAAGAAAGAGGGAGCGGGACGCCATAGAATTTGATTTAGCTTATCTGAGTTTTTCTTTTTTTCTTCCAATTTTCTAGAGAGTACGGATGAGGGTCTTGAGTTAAATTCGGCACTTGGACTGTGTTTGGTTCGCCTTTTCATTTGTGTGCTTGTCTCCCTTTCTCATTTTTGTCTTCTAAGGGTTCAGTCGTCTTGACAAAAACGATTAAAGTGGGCAAGTTGTATTTTATTTTGGACTAATGTTACGATGTCTTCTAAATTATAATAAATTATTAAATGTGATATTTAAATTTTAAAAATTTTTAGTATAATATTTTAATTATAAGTATATTAATTAATGTATCATTTAAAAAATTATTTATTCGTCAAACTATTCATATTAAAAATAAGTATTATATTATTTATATATTCATAAATCATATATGATATTAAAAAATTTTAAAATTTAAATATTATGTTAAATATTTTATTATAGTTTAAAAACCATTCCTAATATTAACAACAATAACAACATCATATTAAACCTTATTTCCTATATTCTAGTATTGGTTTATTTATAATATTAAACCTTTTATTTATTTTAATACTCAAAAAATTTGATTTTCAAAATGTCACAAATCACAAAATAATTGTGTGCGGTCATATGATCTATTGTTAGAATATTAAACTCTTAATTGTAATAATCCAATTAGATTCCGACAATCTCAATTACAAAAGAAAAAAGATTATGAATAATTTAGGACTTATAACATAAGCTTGAAGTCGAAACTACGCATGAAATATGAAAGCGAATGATACAGACAATCTGTTTAATTTGATGCAATAAGATGAAGCACATGCTTAGGTTATTTCTGTTTCTGAAGCTTGATTCTTCTTCTTGTATTCTTGGAACTCACCGTATAAGTAATACTGAGATCCCCAAACAGATAAAACAAGTGATTTGGCTTTTTCAACTAGGAACTTTTCATGGTAGAACAAAAAGCTAAAGCCTAAAGGTTCTGTCACAGGAAGCAGAACCCCAATTATTATACCAGAGAGCAACGAGGAGGCAGAGAAAATCACTCCAACAGCTCCCATGAAGAAGAACTGCCATAAGATTGCATTCTAAATGATTACCGCATAGTATACTGATTGTCCTGCTTGTGAGATCAATGAATGCTACGATCAGTTTCTTTATTCATGATCATCTACAGGTCAATTCAAGTTAGCCAGTTAGGCTTTCCTTTTTTACTTCATAATTGAATCTACTCCATTTGTTTTTTACCTGACAACTCACCCGGTTTTATAAGTTTGCTTCCCAAAGACTTAAAAAATTCCAAGGGTGTATTCAGGCTCATCTTCTTTGGACAACGTGACGAGTGAATGAATCAATGATCACTTACTGTTCTTTGGGGACTCCTCCATTTTCTTGACAATTTAGAGGATTAAAATTCCCAATTCTTTAAAATTGCCTTTGATATACACTTGAGAGATGAGACAATCAATCAGAGAATCATGTATCGGACTCTGTAATTAAGCAAGGGATCAACAATTTATGTAGCCATATTTAATTTTCTCAACTTGCTGGAACTACAGAACACACTCCTTGTTCTTCTGCGGATGTCAACATATTTCCTAAGGAGTTGGATAATAGATTTGAAAATCATTGGTTTCTGTAAACAAACTTTTCTTGTTTAACAAACATATTTAAGCATGAATTAGAGCATGATTCATTCTAGTGTCACACAAAGAAATCTATGGTAAAACAGGAAATGGTGGGCAAATATCCTCAAGAATCCAACAATTTTCCACAATGGAAACCTTACTGTTTTCTGATCCTAGGCGACATAACTTGATCTACCAAAGGCTCATTTCCATTGATAATCTTCAATCGAAACATTTGAAAGATCTGGATTAAGACTGAAGCAGGCATGTCAAACGCCGATTTCCAGTGGTTCTACTGGCAACACATAAGATTGATGCTAAAATTGAGACATTTCTCTTTTAGACCCAAAACAATGCGCCCCTCTACATGTCTACTTACATGTAGCAAGGGCAGAATTCGTTAAACAAGAAAATAACATAAGCATTAGTCTCAAAAGCTTTACTTACAACTGCATGTTTTCTATAGAAAACTCAAAACTGATGCTGCAATAAGCACAACTGCTATCCCTTCGGAACAGGATCCTTTTTTTGATGAATCTTATTGCTATGTATTATTATACAAGTTTAGCATCATCTATATTCATCAAGGGTTCTGGATATTACAGTATTTTCTATTTTAAAGAAACAAAAAGCTTACAGAAAACCCTCAGCTTGTTGAGAGTTCCCAAGACATCTCAGTCTCAGATGTCTCACCTGAAAGTAGAAACTTGCAGCAACGATCAAAAGCTTCTCAAAGGAGGATTTTTGTTGTTGCATATTGGCAAGGAGAATTTTCCATTGTAAGAAAATGACCTCTTCATAAAAACTGGCCCATTCTGCAAAGACCTAGCTATAGAAGAATGACACATCAGTCTCAGCAAACTTTGATTTCCTGCCGCTCTCCTTGAGACAATTCTCACGCTCGATTCTTTTCCTTTAGCCAAATCATTATCTGAATTGCCATTAGATCCCTCTGGAATACCATTAGCAAGAGCCTGGCTAATCTGAGAAGCTGCCAAGGAATCCAAAGAAACTGATCTTCTCATAGGTTGAATTCCATCCTCTACTCCCGAACTTTCACCTGTGTTTCTCTCATTTTCAACAGCTAATTCCTCTTCCTCGACTGGTCTAATCCTTATTTCACTTGCTTCACCATTAGTTTCTCTCTCAGGTTCTCCATCATCTTCCACAATTACCACTTGGGTTTCCTCACTTACTCCTGACTCTTCATTATTTACCTCAGACAATGATGGTCCTTCATTAGATTTAGCCGTGTTTGAGACAATAGGTGCTCGGCACATAGGACAATTGGTATGCGATCTCAGCCAAGTATCAATACAAGGGATGTGAAAAGCATGACTACACTTTGGCAACAACCTTAGAGTCTCATCATCTTCAAACTCATTCAAGCAAACAGAGCACTCTGTTCCTTCAACCAGACCCTCACCTCTTTTATACTTACAAACCGTGATGGAATTAATGATAGATGGTTGCAGACCTACGGTATTGATGTACCAGATGGGATGGTCAACGATAGGACCATGATCTTCATCAAGGAACTCATCACGGGTTTCAGTTGTTTCAGACTGTGATCTCCTCCTAGCATTAGATCGGCGTCTAGACCACCTGACATAGTAAACATAACAGCATAGAAACAAGAAAGCTGTGGCAAGAACTGTGAACGTTATGATCAACAACTTGGTAGGTATCTTTGTATGAGAAGGGGACTTAGAAACAGGAGCCGGAGGAGAGTATCGGTCTGGGTCAGGAGAGTCAGGAGGCTCAGAACAGAACAACTCACATAATTTAGAACATGATGGAACACAATCATGGTGACAATCGACACAGTAATCTAGTGAAGTTTCATTTCTTGAATCAGACATCAACTTTCTATGTTGAAAACCCATTTACGGGAACCAAAGATCAAACATAAAAAAAAAAGCAAAGATGAGAAACGATGCCAGAAGGAAGAAATCAAAGGGTTGGGTGAAGGAGAAAGAGCATAAAACGATGGGAGGGGTTCTTGACTTTCACACACAACTGCTTTAGTTTATGGAACGAAAAGTTTGATTAAAAGATAATGAAGAATAGAATATGACCTTTTTTTTTTTTCATTTGATCTTTTCCGCGTTTGTTTCTGACTTTCTTGTATTTTGGTTGTCATGGCGGCTGATAGTGACCAGAAGCGGCCCAATGGAGTCAGGTAGACATTGGGACCGGCCCAAGCGTAATCATCTGCTCACGGGTAATAAATCAAGATGAAGAAAGGTAAAATGATTTTTTAAAATCTAAAAATAAAATTATTATTTTAAGGATTAATCTCATAAATAATTTCTAAATTATAATAAAATATTTAATTAAATATTTAAATTTTAAAAATTTTTAAAGTGATATTTGAATTATAAATTTATTAATTAATATGATACTTAAAAAATTAATTATTTATTAAATAAAATTAATTAAAAATGAATATCATATTAATTAATAAATTTATAATTCAAATATCATATTAAAAATTTTTAAAATTTAAATATCACATTAAATATTTCATTATAATTTAAAAATTATTTACTATATTAATCTATTTTTTAAAAAAATATTTTAATGGTGTTTTAACTATTTTGTTGTTTAATGCAAGTCAATTGTTGTCAGCACAAAATTTGCTGAGAATGAAAGTAGAATGTCGGTTAAAATCCTGAATTACTAAAAAAATTGTTGTCATCGCTCGCACTACACAAGACAGTCTTTCCTTGTTTCTAGTAGGGCTTAGGGAAAATTAATGTTGTTAAAACTGTTCTTTAGTTTTAACGCCTTGGAATAAAGGAGGGTGTGTAAAACTGAAGTCTCAAAAAAACCTGACCTCCATCAACGCACTGATTGTAATTACGTTACAGAGAAGAGGGATCTTTAACTCTCTCATTTCGAAGGAAACAAACCACCATTATAAAAGCATTGCTGTTGCAAAGGAAAGTTCCAGTTCAGACATGGAAGTTCACATCCAAACAAGAAAGTTGATAAAGCCATCGATTCCAACTCCAAATCACCTTAGAGAATTGAAGTTATCATGTTTTGATCAGATTGCTCCTCCAACATACGGTTCATTTGTTTTCTTCTTTCCTGCTGATAGCTCTATCAGCACATCCAGCAAAGATGAAAGGCTAGAAAAGCTACAAAATTCACTGTCGGAGGTACTAACCTGCTTTTACCCTCTAGCTGGTAGATTAGATCAAGATAGGAACGTCATTGATTGCCATGACCAAGGGGCTGAATATTTGGAAGCTCAAGTGAATGCCAATCTAAACCAATTTATCCTGGAAGAGCTAGACTCTAAATTGCTGAATCAATTAAATCCTTTCCCGAATGAGCTTGCCTTTACTCCAACAGTCCTGGCGGTTCAAATCAACAAATTTGATTGTGGTGGTTTAGCTATTGGTGCCAGTCTTTCACACAAGTTTGCTGATGGATTTACAATATTTACCTTCGTAAATGGATGGGCTACTTGTTGCCGCATAGGTGTAGATAGAGTGAAATGTTTAAGTTTTGAAAGCGGATCTCTTTTGCCTGCAATATATACAGCTACGGATAAAATTCCAGTCCCAGATGATAATTCAGAAAATCTTATCACAAGGAGGTTTATTTTCCGGGAAGCTGCTATATCTGCTCTCAAAGCCAAAACCGTTGCCTTGGCTGGTGATTCACCACATCAAAGCCACCAACCTTCCAGGGTGCAGCTGTTGATTGCCCTCATATGGAAGGCACGCATAGCTCTGGCTCAAGCAAAACATGGGTCTTTAAGGAATTCATTACTAATCTTTCCTTATAACTTTCGTCGGAAAACAGCCATACCTATACCACCGAATGCTGGAGGCAACCTATTCAGGAATGTCACTGTCCGATTTACAGCAAATGAAAGCAAGCTGGAATTGCAACACTTGGTAAATCTAGTGGGAAATGAACTAAGGCATGCTGCCGAATCTTTTGCAAAGACAGAACAAGCTGGGGATTTGTTCTTGTCCGCAACAAGTTCCTTGAGAAAGATCCATGAAGAACTAATCAAAGTGAATACAGATATTTGTCTCCTTACAAGCCACTGTAAATTTCCCTATTATGAAGCTGATTTTGGTTGGGGAAAGCCTGGTTGGATAGCAAGTACTCATAAGCCTGGAGAAATGGTTTTGTTGATGGACACCAAGTCTGATAGTGGAATTGAAGCATGGGTAACCTTGGAACCAAGCAACATGCGTCAATTCGAGCAAGATCATGACATTTTGGCATATAGTTGCAAGCCTGCAGAATACTACTCTTAAAACTTTGTTCAATGTTCATCGGCTGCAGTGAAGTAAAATCTATCTAGAAGACTTTAGTCAATGCAATTGCTAGTGTTATATATTCCTTGATTGGAAGAATTTTTCTATTTGATACTATGTCAAATGCCATATTGTCTATTGATACGATGTACATTAAAATTTTAAAAAATATACATAAGAAGGTTATATAATGAGACAACAGCAAGATATAAATGGGCCTAACACTTTCCTAGTAATTAGCAAATTGTCTAAAAGCTAAGCCCAACATTTGTAACATCAACATGTCGAGAGAGTTCATGGTTCAATCTCAGATCATAGTGATGGATCGCTAAATATACCGATCATCCGAATGAAGCATGAAGAAATTATTTTCTGAACAAAACTTGGGCTAATGCAATGGTCTATTAAGGCTAAATTTGCTTACCAAAAATCATTTTAAGTAATTCAGAACAATAATTATTTCGGCTACATAGAAACTTATTGGTATGCTATATCGCTAATCCATTAACTAAATTATTTCAAATTTTTATAATTTCCTGACCAATTATACATGCTGCATCGTCTTATTTTTTGCTGAAAATTATATGCATCATCTTCAAATTTGACAAGAATGGCATTTTTAAAGATAAGAATGATATAGTCAGTAGTGTTTATCACATTTTGTAAATCATATAATCATTATTCGTAGTCAAACGAAACGTAAGCAAAAAGAGTTTTTAACAACACAAATCTCAAAAACTTTACATGAATACTTAATTAGCAAGTGTTTTACTTAGAAGGAACAACCCACATGCTTAGCAATGTCGTGCTTTTGCTCAATCGTGGAAGTAACAATGTTCAAGAAGCAATATTTGGGTTGCCTTTAAGCTTGGTTGAATCAGTTTTAACTTGCAAGGAACAGGTCAGAGGCTTACTTTCTTCCTGGTGCAAAGCCAAACCTGAGTTGAACATCTCATCCCTTGGCGTGCTGAAACACTCTTTCGTTTTTTTCCATTTTAATAAATTGGCAAGAAACTACTCCCACGAGAAAATGTCATGAAGAAGATGCTAAGGGCTTGCGATGCTTAAAAACCTGGAACGAAGCATATAAATGGCCATTTATCAATAGGATTGGTGTGAAAAAAATTGGTGACAATGTTTGGAAGAGGTTGCTTTGCTTCTTACAAGCTGCAAAATTGCATTGAATCGCTACTTCATTCTTACAAATATAAGTCGGGCAATATCTCTCCAGGTTTCCAACATCAAGACGGTATGGCTAAGCGACATGATTTCTCTATGAACCAAGGGCTTCGATTCATCAGCACCAATATAGGAATATGGAGAAACATGTAATTAGTCATATAATCTTCCTGAATGTTCATTTTTATCATCAATATTGAGCAGCCTCTGACATTGATTGAATAAATTTTCATTATTTTTAATTGTAGTACTACTACAAAGGATGAGAGGGAGAAGGATAGCCCACCAGCGGCTGGTTCAGGTCCTCCAAAGTTCAAATTCTCCCTCTGGTATGAACTCGCTTAAGTTGTGATATTCAATGTTTTGAACCAAAAGAAAATAAGAAATCCATTCCTATCATGAGAAGACAAGCATAAAGAAAAACACCATTTTCATGCAGGGTAAAATGCCTTTTGGGCTCTGTGCTGAGTTTCTTCCTGCCCTTCTGGAAGGAAAAATGGACAAAACTGAAGAGGATTGAAGGTACATGTTATGCGATAATTCATAAGAATTGTTTCCCATCTTGTCAAGATTTGGTAAAGAGTTGATCACTGGTGAAAATATGATACAGTTACCAAATCTATATATTTGCAATTTTGAAATGTATTTTCAGGAGAAGCAGAGATGGTGGTGGAACAGGTCGAGAATGTAGCGGAGGTAGTGGAAAAGGTTGCAGACGCAGCGGAGAAGGCATCAGCTCAAGTAGCAGAAAAGCTTCCTGATGATAGCAAGCTGAAAAAGGCAGCTCTGGCGGTCGAACACGTTTCAGAAATAACAGCCCAAGATGCTCACGCCACAACACAATTCATCCACCAGGTAATGCCTTGTCAGTTCATTTATCTCTTCCAGCACGCAATAGAAGTTGGCGGTAAATGGCATTGATTACGCCCTTTGTTGATTCAAACATATAGGCTGAGGCAATAAAGCATGACGTAGATGGCTTGGAGTCATTGGTTGAACCCATTGTTAACAAGATCGTGAAGCAAGGACCCCAAGCAAAATAAACTCAAATTTAATCTTGATGAAACCTTAGAGAAGATTAAATAATGCCATGATGTAAGATAAAAAAAAATATTTATTCTAAACTTTTGTTTATTTGCTTGGTCCAAGTCCAGTCAAAGATCAGCCTAACATCAGTTTATCTCCCTAATTCAAGAATTCCACCAAGTCATCCAGGACGTGGGCCACGGCGAACACGAATCACGGCTAATAAAGCAAAGCTATCTGTCTGGAAAAGAAACTAAAGCGACAAAAGAGGACAACGTTAGCGTACAAATTCTTAGCTTTCCTTGTTTTTTTGGTCGGATATTTAATAAAAGCTGTAAAAGATTGACCAGTAGACATTAATCTTGTTTAAGAAAGTCGAAACAGAAACTCCAAATCCGTATCCGAATCTTATAAAGATGGGCGACTGAAAGAAATCTAAACGGCAATAAAATTGACTCATTTGGATTACGATAAAATTGTTCGGTACTCTAAATCTCAACCACAAAGCCTAATCACCTCCTTTGGTGTAATAACTTAAATATATTTTATTTGCAGCCCATTTGGATGTAATTGCATTCATGATGAGTGCTGATTGCAAGATAATGACGGTGTACTTGAATATATTAACCGCACTGAAACACCTTTTTATAATTTGTAAAAATTGGTTCAAAAAATAATGGACGTCAATTTTAGATTTTTTTTCATTTTTTTACCCTTCACATTTGTATTATATTACAAAGATAACAATTTTTTATATTTTAATCTTTTCTATTTCGATGCTTTATTTAAAAATTATAAAATACTTTTATTACTTTAATATAATAATTATTTAATTAATTTTTATCACTATTTTTATTTTCAATTTTTTATTAGCAAAACTATTAAATTATTAAAACTATTAATTTATTTAAAAATAATTTAATAGTTTTTAATTGTTTATAATTTATAAATATTAAATAATTTAAATTTTTATTAATATAATTTTTACTTTTTTTTTTTTCATTATGATTGACCTCAATACTACTATTTTTTTATATCTAAATATATATTTCATCATTAATTTTAATTTACTGTTACAATAATTATCTCACTTTCATCGTCGTATTTTCAATCTCACTATTACTAATTTCATTGATGAACCCTTAATTGCATGTATATTTTTTAAATCCCAAATTTAATTTTCATGTAATATTTTTAAAAATAACTAAAATCAAATTTGAATTCAAATTTTTAACGCTCATAATTTCTTTCTAAAGCTTTAACTATAATTTAATTCATAAAAAAATAATATAATAAATTTTTTTTTTGGGACAAATTAAGAGACAGAATACTAATGAAAGCAAAACAAAAACAATTAAAGATAATGATACTTTAACAAAAAAAAAGATGAAGCCAAGCGGAAAGGGCAGATCCATCTATGTCAAACTGCAAAATAATCAACTGTATATAAACCCCAATAACTCGAAAAAGACATAAAAAGAAAGAAAAAAAAAACTAATGAAATTAACTACAACGATGAAATCTCTTTAATCAACACTTAATTCTCATTCTCGGGGAGGGAAAAGGACTCTTGATGTCCCTACAGCGCCATAACGGCTGTCAACAGTCCAACCGCAACAGATCCAGCAGCACCAAACCTATTCAACTTCAAAACGGCACTGTTCTCCGCTGGTCCAGGAGCTTCAGCAGGAGGCCCGGAAATCGACGAGGGACTGCTAACTGGCGACGGAGAATAAGATGGAGGTGATTCAACAGTTACTGGAGATGGTGCGGTTGCTTTCGGAATCTTCGACGGAGACGGTGCAGACGCTGTGGGTGGTGAAGAGACTGGCGTCGGACTTGACGATGGGGATTTCTTCGGCGAAGAAACAGGCGACGGCGTTGGAGATTGTGCTATAACGGAGCAAAACAGCAATGCCATTGTAATTAAGGAGAGAAAACGAGAGAGAGCCATTGCCGTTAAAATGCAAAGAAGGATTTAAACAACAGAGACAGTGTACGAGGTAAGGGAGAAGATAGGGGAGTATATATGGAGATCAGAATTAATTAATAACCGTTGGATTTGTTCTCGCACGGATCTCGAAGAGATGAACGTTTGGCATTTGCTTTAACTTTAAAGAAAGGGGTTGGTTTGCAATTGGCGCTTTTTCTACTTTAATTTTGTGCTTTTAGTAACGATTAAAAAAGCACGGTCATCGGCTGCATATGGCAGTTGCAGTGGGGTTGAAATTTGGCATCCAGATGCAATCTGATCCGTTCAATTTTCCGTTAAATGTTTACATATTTGCAACGGTCGAGAACTTGATAGATCTGACGGTTTCTGCACCAAGGAAAAAAAATAGTGCATAAGTGGGAAATTTACGGTGGGACCACTTATTTGGAAATACCAGTACATATTATTTATTTTTTAAAAAATATATATTATTTAAGAAAAAACTTTATCCATGTAATTAGAGTCGATAATTTAATCCGTCCCCGACGGTTTCGATCAGACCTGATCTTATAAGGTCAATTTTTTTTTTTTTAATTTTGAGTTTCGGGTCGGATCGGATTCGAATTTTAGGCAAACTCGACTTGATATTATATAAAAAATTATTTTTAATTAATTATTTAATTTTTTATTTATATATATATTTATATAATGATATTTTTAAATATTTATATTTAAAAAATAATATTTTATATTTTAAAAAATAATATTTTATTATTTCGGATCGAATTCAAGTATAAAAAATAAAAAAATTTTCGGATAAAATCAGATTCGAATTTAATTACACATTAAGTTGAGTCGGATTCACTGCAGGTTAACCCTACATGTAATGCACTACTTTCACAAAATTAAAAAATCAAAATAATATATATCATTTGGTTTATATTTCCCTCCTCTATTATCTAAAATAAAAAGATATTGTAAATATTAAGTTTTAAATTTTAAATTTATCAGATATTGGATGATTGAATTAATTAAATTAAGCTTTAAAATTTTTTTCACATTTATTTATTTTTCACCAACATAATGAGTGCATTACATTGATGAGAAAATTATATATTTGCTGTGATTTATTTTGAATTTTGTATTAATTCTCAACTGTTACTTAAATCGTAACAACAAATTCAATCAGAGATGAAATGCAGATATATACTAAAAGCTTTTTTTTTTCCCCTTTTCCATTTATTATATAAAATCGAAATTACAACAATGACAACTCGAATTTGACATTATTAGAAGCTTAACAACTGGTCAAGCAAATCCAAATTCTAGAACTGAACTTGCTTGGTTTTGTTTTTTCTTTGTCCAAATTTACATGCTATAGAAAAAGAATGGATGGCTCTTCCTCGGTATACAAAGGAAAACCGCATAAAATTTTACTTTAGCATGCCAAAGTAAACATTGAATTTTATATAAAATTTTAAGCATTAATCTGTATCTATAACCAACTTCAGAGATGATGTTCTCTTCCTATTATCATGTCAGTTGTAATAAGGGGATCGAGTGGGAGAGTTACCAGCATCTAAAGCAAGCCGGAAGCAGCAGATCCTATGATTCAGATTCAGATGCAGCATCCACCGGAGTTGTGTTACCATTGCCGCCAATAATGAGACTGTTCAAACTGCCATTAAAGTCTAAGCCATAAACGTGGCCCATTTTAGCGCGTTTGGTCATCAAGTATCTCTTATTCTCCTTTGTAATAGGAGTTAGTAGCGGAACCCTGCCTGCAATTGCTAATCCATAGCCCTTGAGTCCACTGTATTTAGCAGGATTGTTTGTCATCAGTTTCATTGTTCGCACACCCAGACCCCTAAGTATCTGAAAGGAAGAATCAAAACTTGAGTTATACAAACTTCTTTGAGAGTTATGAAGAAAGTAAAATCCATCAAAACAAAGCAAAAAGATGCACCAGTCATATGGTAAAGCCTTTTAGCAAGCCGCAAACAAGGGTTCATATCCTTCCCAATTTATTTTACTGAACTTTCTTCCATATGAGGTTGTAATCAAAGGAAAAGAAAAAAAATTATGGAATTAAGTACTTCAGCTTGGACTATTGTTCCTATGCTGAGTTCCAACCTCCAACAATTCCATTCTTTTCTCCATCTAAATAGCTATACAACACATGAAGGTTCCATCTTAAGATCAAAAGTATTTTTAACCAGTAGAATTTAAACAAGCTCCATGTTATTTTTAGTAAGACCCTGAAACTATAAAAAAAGGGGGGAGATTACAAAAACAGATGAACCTTTGGAATGCAACTGAATTATGCTAGATATATTAATTTAGCGTGATTTTGATTTTTGAAGAGGAATACCTGTGCACCAATGCCATATTCTCTTGAATCAACGGGCAACCCAAGCTCCACATTTGCTTCTACCGTATCACGTCCAGCATCCTGCAGATTATAGGCACGAAGCTTGTGGCCCAAACCAATGCCCCTGCCTTCATGCCCACGAAGGTATACCAAAACGCCCCTGCCAGCAGCCTCAATTTGTTTCATTGCAAGGCCAAGCTGATTCCCACAGTCACATCTAGCAGATCTAAATATGTCTCCTGTGAGGCATTCTGAGTGAACCCTCACAAGAATATCTTGCCCATCTCCAATCTCACCCTGTTTACACCATACAAAAGAATCATGCCATATTCTTCATTATGAAGGCTTTTAATCCAAGAAAATCTAAAGCTAAAGGATTATACAGAATAGTGCAAAACTTGACACTTACGGAAAAACAATAGAAGTGTGCTTAAAATAGATTGAAACATTTCTGACTTGATTAACCACAGGATAAATATTTATATGGGATTCATACAGATAATAAGGTAAATCAGATATATAGGAAGTTGAAACTAGCAATAAGAATGCCAATATATCCTCACCTTAACCATTGCTATATGCTCAATCCCATCTAATAGTGACCTGTAACAATAAGCCCTGAATGGCCCCCACATAGTGGGTATCTGTGCAGCACCAGCATGAACAACTAATTTATCCCTCTTTCGCCTATACCTGTCAATCATAAGCATTATTAGAAGTAGTACTTTATTGTACTTAAAAGACCCCATATACAAAAAGTAACAGTTTTGGCAAGAATTAATTGGGCAACTTAACCTCAGGATCCATGAAAGATGAGTAGAAAGCAAAGCTCTGCATATGATACTCATTAATTTACCTAATTAAATCAGCAATGGATATAATTTTCAAGTTCTCCCGCTCAGCAAATTGACGAAGCTTTGGTAATCTAGCCATGGATCCATCATCATCTACAACCTCACAGAGAACAGCAACAGGGTCCAATCCAGCTAGCATTGCAAGATCAACAGAAGCTTCAGTATGCCCAGCTCTTTTTAAAACACCACCTTCCCTGTACTTCAGTGGGAAAATGTGACCCGGTCGGTTGAAATCCTCAGGTTTGGAATCTTTAGAAGCAAGGGCCAATATTGTTGTTGCTCTATCATGAGCTGACACACCAGTTGTAGTACCATGTTTTGCATCCTGCAAATTGGTTTTCATGCGACAGAAAAAGTTGAGAACCATTGGAATTGTTGAACCAGATAGCATACAAGCCCTGGCCAAAAAAATGATTGTATAGAAGCCGTTTTTCTAGACTAAAACAAATTAACCCCTAATCATACTTTGTTCAAATTATCATAAAAGATTTCTCCAAAATCGTATTTTGAACTTATCAAAAGTGTATAGGCAATCATGATCATCAATATCTTCCAGGTATCTAACATCTTCAGCAATCAGATTCAACCTCCGGTAGGTGGCTATGATTTTCAAAAATGTTCTGAAGCAGTAAATACAATTGAAAAAAAAACAACAAAAAACAATTAGTTCTCAAATTTAAGTTAGAATCATAGATCGGAATTTCTTTCCAAATAATTTATTGTTTCATTAAAAATGAAATTATCCATGTATCGGGTTTATGGATATCAGACAAAACAACATACCACTGTAACTGTGAATGCAGTGCGGAGTTTCTCTTCATTTTCCCTTTGGTTCACCATCAAAGGAAGCTGCAACCTCTCCAGATCCTCCTCTTGCATGCTCACACATACTATCCCAGTTCCATGCTTCACAATAAAGGCCATAGCTTCAGGTGTCGCCAACTGAGCTGCCATTATAAGATCTCCTTCATTTTCTCTGTCCTCATCATCTACAACCACTACCATCTGCAACATAATTCAGATTGGTAAAGAAAACTGACTAATATGCAGAAAAATAAATATACAAATATTACCAGCTCATGGAACAAAAAGCATCCCAAGGAAAAAAACTAACCTTGCCCTGGCGAATGTCCTCAATTGCCTCAGGGATGGAAGCAAAACCTTCAGTGGGGCGATCCAAATCAAACTCATCATTATCGATGGGAAAAGCATTACTTATAGGAGCTGTATCTGCTGCAAGATTTCCAAATGCTATTGCATCTTGTTGTGCTTCAATCCCAACTGATTTATCACTGAAGAGATTACCATTTGTTGACACACCATTTCCATTAGAATAGGACAGGAGGTCGCCTTCTCCAGATACAAGTGCAACTCTAGTTTTGCCAACAAAGGGTGATCTACTACTACCCAACCGTATAAAGGCCAAATCAGACACGTAGCCATTTGAAGAGAATAGATTTGTGCTGTGTAATCCATTCAAGAGTCTGAAGCTTTTGGATGCCCTATGTAGAAAGAAAGGTCACTAAGAAATTCATACAGTCAAATAATACTGACAAGTGTAAAGATTGTACTATAACATTGATAAGGCATTCGGTATCAGTCAATGGGGTGTGTCGCCATATTGCTTTCCAGCCAAGGCTAATCCTTGATACAAAGACAGGACCTTTTGGTCAAAATGGCTAAAGGCTAAAGTTCATTGGTAACAATCTCTGACAGCACCCGCTTGTTGGATACGTTAAGTTGTTTAAAATAAAAGTTAACCACAGCTTCTGTATAAGATCGAAATCGGAACCATTGACCGTAAAAACTTGAAATTTGATTAGAAAACCAAAGAACAGAAGAAGGAAATCGTATTGGAACAAAAAAAAAAAAAAAACAAAGAAAACCCAACAACAACAAAAACCAAAACGAAATTTCACTTGAACGAAAGGATTAATTAAAGAAATAGAGAAGACAGGTTACCGAGGACGAGAAAAAGCCGAAGTTGAAGGAGAAGAAACGTTGAAAGAAGCCATAAACAGCCAGAGAACAAGCTAAAAGTCTAATGGGGTTTTTGATCTTGCAATTGTAAATTCGTAATTTTTTTTTTTTAACGTTTATGTTATTATATAATTATAGGAGGAAGCAAAATGGAACAAGAAACGTGATTACGAAGTTGCGGCGAATTGAATATTTGTGGAGATAAGATGTTACCCGCGGGTGAGCTAGCAGCAGCAGCAGGTCGGTTTGGTGGGTTTCTTTGACCGTTGCTTGGTTGGATTTTCGTACTAATATAAGAAGGCGTGCGATTGAAAAATTATTTAATAAAATTTTTAAATTTTACAATGAATTAACATAATTAAACATATCTTTTAGATATATTAAAAATAAATAATTTAACTAAACAATAATCTTAATTAAATTTGAAAAAGAAGTAGGTAAACAAAATTTATGTAAAGCGGGTGATGCAGCTGGGCGGTTTAATCAGGAGACAAATTTATGTAAATTCGGTTCGGTTTGAATTAAATAAAAATTTAATTTAAATTTTTAATTTTTATAATATTATGTAATATAAAAAAATCAAATCAAATTCGATTCGAATTGAATCTTATCACCCATAACAATCATCCCTTCAAGCTTCTCTAAACTTGTCTACATTTATTTACTTGTTTTCTCATTTATTTTCATTTGTTATTAGGCCAACGATTTATTTATTTATATTATATAAAATATTAAAATTTATATATTTATATCATATTTTATATATAATTATATATTATAATTTATATTAATATAAAAATATAAAATATATATTTTTTAATTTTATTAAAATCATATATAATTATTATTAAAATTTTAAATTATATTATTTTTGTATCTTATTTTTTATTATGTCTTATTATATTATCATATCATCTCTTAAATTATTAAATCTACTGGTCACCCACCATTTTCCTTTCCCTCTTACTTTTTTTTTTTATTAACCTTTCAAACCATTGACAAATGGTCTTTAAGCAACAGTCAATTGGACTTTATGTATGCACATTATGGTAGATGAAAAAGAGAAAATTGTTTATATGTTTTGTTTTTATTTATAACTTTTGTTGTAACCTTTAAACATGCTGATTTTATTTTTATTATTATTAATTTTTGAAAAAATAAAATGCATGAAAAAAAAAAACTTAATTTTATTAATGAATTATGGGTAACATATGAATGCTTTTATTTTGGATATGGGATGGCTTAATACCTTACGGCTCATTTTGATTCCATTGGAGGGGGGGTCGAGACGCGATTTGCACCACTTTTTTTAAATATCTTTATCATAATTTTTCATATATTCATATCTAATAAATTTTATTATTTTTTTAAAATTATATTTTCAAAAAATAATAATACTTCTCGAAAATGCACTTCAAAAAATCTTAAGAGTGAAGTTTATGAAAAATAAAAAAAAATGTTAAAAATTTTTATGAATTAGTGTAATAAAAAATTATTATTAGAAAATTTATAAAATTTAAAATTAATAAAAAAGTTACTTTTACTATTTTGATATTAAAAAAATAAAATCTTATAAAACTCTAATTAAATATTCCATCTCTTGATATTAAAAAAAGAATAAAATCATAAATTTTAAAATTAATAAAAAAATATTTTTACTATTTTGATATTAAAAAATTTAAATCTTATAAGATCCTAATTGAATTAAAAATAAAATAGTAAATACAATTTTTTATAAATTTAAATTTTATTATTTTTAAATAAACATTTTTTGTATCAGTTATTAAAATATTTTATAATAGCACTAACTATACTAAACATTTTAGAGAAGTCTCATCATCTACTTATCATAATAAATTTTTTCAACTAACATATTAAATTTTAACAAAATTTTATAATATTCAGTGGTATTATTTGTATAATTTTAAGGAGTTTAAGCTCTTATATATTGATAAGATCTAATAATTTTTAATCACCTTATGTAATATGAAGAGATAAAATATTTAATCGGAATATTGTAAGATTTTATTATTTCTCTAAGATCAAAATAATAAAAGTAATTTTTTTATTAATTTTAAAATTTAGAAAGAATTTTCTAATAATAACTATTTTCTTTATAGTAAGTAATTCATCAATATTTTTAACACAATTTTTTTTCCTTTCTAATTTTTCATAAACTTTCACTCTTAAAATTAATAAATTTTTTTCTAATAATAACATTTTTCTTTACAGTAATTCATCAAAATTTTTAACAAAATTTCTTTTTTTCCTTTGTAATTTTTCATAAACTTTCACTTTTAACACTTTTCAAAATACATTTCCAGAAAATTACAAAATTTATTAAATATAAATATCCAAACACTTTAAATAATGATATTTAAATAATTTTACTTATCAAAAAATTCTTTAAAAAGTGAAGTGTAGAGAGAAAAAAAAGTGGCGTGCATTTAGTCCTTCCCTTTTTCATTTCCACCATTTCTTTCCTTCCTTTTTTCTTTTTTAGTTTTTATCTTTTTTAACCTTAAAGAGTATTTAGTTCGTGAAATTATAGATTTCAAAAGAAAGTATGATTTTAAAAAAAATATGATATCCAGAGTTTTTTTTTTATATTTTTAAGATATTTTATGTTTAGATTCATTTATTTAATTAAAAAAATTCACATATATTAAATTTTAAATAATTACTATAATTTTATTAACGTATATGATGATAACTTAAATAATTAAATTTTTAATTGAAAAATATTATTTAAGTCATTTAAGTAGTTTAAGCTCTTATATGTTGATCGAATTTGATAAAATTTTATCACCTTTTTGTAATATGAAGAGATAAAATGTTTAATTAGAATTTTATAATATTTTATTATTTCTCTAAGATCAAAATAGTAAAAGTAAATTTTTTATTAATTTTAAAATTTATAAAATTTTTTCTAATAATAACTATTTTCTTTATAGTAATTCATAAAAAATTTTAACAAAATTTCTTTTTTTCTTTCTAATTTTTCATAAACTTTCACTCTTAATACTTTTCGAAATACATTTTCCAAAACTCATAAAATTTGTTAAATATAATATCCTAAAACTTTTGATAATGATATTTAAATAATTTTACTGACAAAGTTTTTTTAAAAGTGGAGTGTAAAAAAACAAAAAGTGGGGTGCATTTCATTTCCACCGTTTCTTTCCCTCCATCTTTGTCCATATATTTTTTAGTTTGTATTTTTTTTTTACCTTTAAAATTATAAGAATGGACAAAAATATCCATAAATTAACCTTTCACTTTTTTCACTGTTTTTCATTTTCATTTTGATTTTTTATTTTAAAAATTTAAAATTACTTTATTGATTTAATATAATAAATAAAATTTTTATTATATGATAAATTAATAAATAAATAAGTTCTTTTATTATATAATAAATTAATAAATAAATAATATATATTAATATTTTGATGAAAATAAATAAAAATATTAAGATTTTAAAATGTTTTAAATAATATTAAAATATATAAAAATATTTTACTAAGATAATTTTAAATTAGTCTTTAATGATTATTTTTTATTCTCACTTTACCACCACTATTGTTTTATTATCTAAAGTCATAATTTGTTATTAATTTTAATTTCATTATTATAATATTCAATTTCATTATTATAATAATTAATCTCATTATCATTATTATTTTTAATCACACATTCCAACTAAATAGACTTTGAGTTAAGGTTTTGGCAAATTTCTCGTGAACTGACAACAAAGCCCAATCCACATGCAAATATATGACCCTTGCTAGTATTTTAAATTAGACTTGACGATTTATATTGTATATAATACTAAAATTTATATATTTATATTATATTTTATATAAAATTATATATTATAATTAATATTAATATAAAAATATAAAATATATTTTTTAATTTTATTAAATTTATATATAATTATTATTAAAATTTTAAATTATATTATATTTATATTGTATTATTATATTATATTTTAAATTATCAAACATATAACTTATTTGTTGTTGGGTCATAGACGCCTGAATTTTGCTCCGGAAAGTAGCCGTTGTGCCTTTTCCTCGTTCGAGGCATTTGTCTAGCCTTACGTCTGGATTTCAAAATGTAACTTTTAAACGTAAAAATAATTCTAAATATATTATAATTTATGTTAAAAGTATTTAAATCAATTGTTAAAATTAATCGAGAGGTAAAATTATTATTTAAAAGTTATGGTTTAAAGATAAAATTATTAAATATTCATTTAATTATTTTTTTATAAAATAATTTTTTTCAACATCATATACTTTTTAAAATAATATTAAACATTCAAAAATCTTAAATCATATTTTTAAAAAATATTTTTCAAACATAAATTTTTTAAAACAAAATTTTACCAACCTGCAATAGCAAAAGTGATCTATGTCTAAAAATTTAACAATTTCTTTTGTCTAATATAATATTCCATCTGTCTTTTTTTTTTGTGTATTTTTTATTAAGATATTTTAAAATTATATTCTTTTAAAATATTTTTAATTATTATTATATTTTTAATTTTTTAACATTAAAAATTATAAAATTTTTAAAAATTTAATATTAAATATATTGAAATAAATTTTTTTAAAACTTTATAAAAATTAATAACACCCAGGGACAAAGAAGTAACTACCTGTATGTAAAAGAGAAAGATCCTTTTCCAGAAAAAAAAAAAAAAAAAGTTGTCCCTCGTCAGAAGTTGACAAAGCCGACCCCGTTGGCCAGCAATCAACAGTTTCAGTTTCAGTTTCACGACTCTCTTTGGGATTTCCGTTCTTTACTCCTTGCATCTATCCTTCCTCAAACTTTGTATTTCCCTCCATTTGAATTCCACTTTCTCTCTGTTCCTGGACGTCCAAACAATGGAGAGCTTAGCCCTCCACTCCTTCTCCGCTGCCACGACCACTTCCTTCTCACTTACCTCCCGCACTTCCCTCTACCACCGCTCTAAACCCATCTCCAAATCACCCCAACCGTCCATTTTCCCCTCCTCTTCATTCCCCACCCTCCGATCCCCTCTCAAGCCCCTCTTGTTTTCCCCACTTCCCACACAACCCAAGCCCCTCCTTTCCCTTATCTGCGCCATATCTCAAAACGACAATAACCCATCCTCCGAAACGACATCCCCATCTCCATCCCCTCTTCCTCAAGGAGCCAAACTCATTCCTCTCTTTATCTCAATTTCCGTAGGCCTCATTGTTGGTTTCCTGGTCCCCAAACCCGTCGAAGTAACCCAACAAGCCTGGCAACTCCTCGCCATATTTTTATCCACAATTGCCGGTCTCGTCTTAAGCCCCTTACCCGTTGGGGCATGGGCTTTTTTAAGCCTCACAACTTCCGTCGTCACCAGAACGCTGCCGTTTACAACCGCCTTCAGTGCCTTCACCAACGAAGTCATTTGGTTGATTGTCATCTCCTTCTTTTTCGCTCGTGGGTTCGTTAAAACGGGGCTTGGTGATAGGATCGCTACTTATTTCGTGAAATGGTTGGGAAAAAGCACGTTGGGATTGTCTTATGGGCTCACTTTGAGTGAGGCATTGATTGCACCGGCGATGCCTAGTACTACTGCAAGAGCTGGTGGAATTTTCTTGCCCATCATCAAGTCGTTGTCTCTGTCTGCTGGGAGTCGGCCTGGGGATTCGTCATCTCGGAAGCTTGGCAGTTATCTAATTCAATCGCAGTTTCAGGTTCGCCTTGTTTCTAGTTTATTAGTAATGATCACCCGCTTATTATTATTATTTTTTAGATTAATCTGGATTCTCTGTTTTAATAAAGTTAGGCTCTTTGATTTCTCTTTCCAATTTGAGCTCTGTGAATATTTTTGGTTCTATGTGTTGTTTATTTTTCTCATTTGCATTAGTACCTTTTGACTCACGCATTACTCATGGATCATCTATGACAGTCTAGTGGCAACTCTAGTGCTCTTTTCCTGACCGCTGCAGCTCAAAATTTGCTATGCCTCAAATTAGCAGAGGAGCTTGGAATTATAATTTCAAGTCCTTGGGTTTCGTGGTTTAAGGCTGCTAGTTTACCGGCACTTGTTTCTCTACTGCTTACTCCGCTTATTTTGTACAAGCTTTTTCCTCCCGAAATCAAAGATACGCCAGATGCCCCTGCAATGGCAGCAAAGAAACTAGAGCACATGGGTCCTGTCTCAAGAAATGAATGGATCATGGTTGGAACAATGCTTCTTGCAGTTACTCTATGGGTCTGTGGGTAAGTGGCATCTTATCATACCAATCGAGCCAAGAAATTGATGTCTTCGTATGTAATGTTTGTTTGAACATGAAATTTGTGTATTTGTATCGATTGAAATATCAGTGTCTTCCATAACTCCCTTGTTACCCTTTCTTTACGAATCTGTGCCCCTGTGAAGTTCTACTGTCATGCGAATGTCATAATGAGGATACCATCTATTACTTTTGTTGCTTATTTTGAAATGAATGTGTGATTACACATATGACATATGGGTTATAAAGCCAGGACATAAGACAGCAAAAATAGGTAGAGAAAGTTGTAGATATGCATCAACGAAGTTAAACTTCAATTATTTGGGGTTTTGATGTTTAGGAAATGGTTTCTTTTGAGAATGTAGTTTTAAGTATCAAAGTATGATTGTTCATGAAAATGTGTAATCATTTGCCCTTCGCAGGTGGATTTTCTCACCAACATGCTAATAAGATTCTCACTTGTTACTGATTATACTTTCTAGTTTTTCCTAACATATACTGGTTTTGCTGGCAGCAGGAATTTTCTTACACACTACCATTAAATATTTGAAACTTGGAAGTCATTCTTTTTAAGCATTCCATGTTGTATTTCCCTCCTATACTTTAAGGCATTAGAAAACTTTTTGTCCATTTTGGTTTTTGCCAGCATGAATCAGATTCTTAGATTGGACTTGTATTGTATGCGTGTATTGCTCTAACCTATTGTTCTTACCATTCAAGGACAATATCCATGCATGCTTATCAGCTGCAAGTTTGAAGCTATGGTTTTTGCTGGTTTGGTGTTTGCTTCAGAACAGATAATTTATTAGTTTTCTGTTTTGTTGATATTTCCTGAACCATACACAGTGAGACTCTCAATATACCAAGTGTTGTAGCTGCAATGATTGGTTTGTCAATACTCCTTCTGTTAGGAGTGCTTGACTGGGATGACTGCTTAAGTGAAAAATCAGCATGGGATACATTGGCTTGGTTTGCTGTACTGGTAGGCATGGCAGGCCAATTAACAAACCTTGGGATAGTGAGCTGGATGTCTGGCTGTGTAGCTAAGATCCTTCAATTGCTTTCTTTGAGCTGGTCTGCTGCATTTGTTGTTCTTCAGACATCCTACTTTTTCATCCACTACCTATTTGCAAGTCAAACTGGTCATGTAGGAGCATTATACTCTGCTTTTCTTGCCATGCACTTGGCGGCTGGAGTGCCTGGTGTATTAGCAGCATTGGCTCTTGCTTACAACACCAATCTTTTTGGTGCCCTAACACATTATAGCAGTGGTCAGGCTGCTGTCTACTATGGAGGTGGGTCTCTTTTTCCTCACTATCTTTGTATGGACTATGTATTCTCTCTCTCTCTTGCTTTGTCATGCATTTGTGTACACATGCATATAAGCACCGTGCCTTTGTACGCAACAACAAAGCCTGCTTTTGTCTGGAGTCATTATTGCAAAATATAGCTATTCCCTCATGTGTCGGTGTGTACACGACCATGCTTTTGGTTGATGAGATGGTAAAACAAGAGAATTGGTTTGGATACTTACAGTGGCCATTTGGTAAGAGATCATTCTCAAATTCCCTTATCAATTTCTTTGTTCCTTCTTTCACCTATAGACAATAATAGTGAATTTCTTTGAAAAGCATTCACAAGTCATCCAATATACATCTTGATAATGTTTCTTTAATTAAAGATTTGCTTGGAGCTGATGAGTTCTTTTGATTTTATTTACAGCCGGATATGTGGACCTACCTGACGTATTCAAAGTGGGTTTTATAATGGCCTTTATTAATGCCATGGTTTGGGGAGTTGTTGGAGCTTTCTGGTGGAAATTTTTGGGCCTCTACTGATTCAATTACCCTGTAAGTTTAATTCTTCCGTGCTGTAAGAAGTCAGGTTTTGTGGAACAATTGAGCTCAATTTAAAAGAAAATTTTCATAGTTATAGATTTGGCTCTTTTTTGTCTTCTCTTTTTATGTTTTTACTGTTTATATTGCTTATTCAGCAGGTTTATATCGCTTATTCAAATATGATTTGATTTTTTTAGAGATGCATTCATTTTCTTTAGAATCCATCACTGCTGCCCTTTCATGAATTCTGTGTTTATGTTGCTTGAGATGCAAACTGTACATTCCCTGTTCTGCTATAAAGCCTTACCTGCCAGCTAGGTTTGCTGATTTAGGGAAACTCCAAGTCTGACAGTGTGAAGAAATTGCTGGTCTATTGCCATATCTGAATTTAATGAAAAAGAAAGTGATCATTTATCTGGAAAATTATCAGGAAAAAGAAACTATACTTTTATTCCCATATATGATGATGGTTTGGGTTCTGTATGAGATCATATTCATATAGTGTATATGTTTGTTATGGTTGCACATGACACGGGCATATAAAAAACCCATGATAACTATACCATATAACATATATTAAAAAGAAAAAGAATTATTCTTTATCATCTCTTAAAGACTTTTCTAAGCAAAGCCCAAAAACTAACGAGGTCACAGAGTCGGAGGAGCAGTTTTCCTTTTTTTCCTTGCGTTAGTCAAGTAAAGATGTCTCGTGTCATATGGACGAATAGATGGAAGTCTTCCTTACCGCTGCTGTTAAATTAAGCGGGAACAAGGGCAGCTAGCAGTATTTTGCAAGCAAATAAATCCAGCTAATGCATGTAAAATTAAAAAAAAAAAAAGGCTTTACTAAAATTACAGTAAATACTAAGAAAGTGATCATTTACCTGGAAATTATCAGGAAAAAGAAACTATACTTTTATCCCAAAAGCAGCTCGTTCAAACAGGATGCTTATATTCTCCGGCACAGAGGAGACCAAAAAAGAAGGAAAATGTGTAACATCAGAGCTTAGCAAAAACCAGTAACAACTCCTTGCTTCCCTTTGTTAAATTGACCTTCATGGGCATCGCAAAGGTCTCTTTGGCTTTCATTTTGTTGGTTGTCATGTTTGGGCAAGGGATCCAGGGATCTCAACAACCGGCATGCAATTTGAATGACCTAACGGCCCTCAAAGGTTTCATCAAGTGTTTAGAATCAGATATTGGAAATGGAACTGGAACAGCCTCAATTGCTGCTCCTGGACGGGTATCACTTGTGATAATTCCTCTGTTTTAAATGAAAGAGTGGTTGGGCTAGAACTTGAGAACAAAAGACTTCTAGGAATGATATGTGAGAGTTTGGTTGGATTGGAGCAACTACGAATCCTGAACCTCTCTCATAATTCTCTCGATGGTGAAATTCCTACCAACTTTTTTCGTTTCCAGAACCTGGAAGTCCTTGATTTGAGTAACAATTATTTCGTTTGTTCACTTCCGACCATAATCCTTTTGCCCTCAGTGAAGTATTTTGACCTTTCAAAGAATTATTTCTCGTTGAATTGGACATCTCTTCCAATGGCTTCGATGGAAGTCTTCCAGATGTTTTTGGGAGACTGAGAAAGTTGGAGTCCTTCTCTGCCGGCTCAAACAGATTAACTGGCTTATTGCCTATTTCTTTGGTGAATTCTCCTTCGATTTTGAAGATTGATCTGCGCAACAACAGTCCGGCAGGTCCAATCAGTATAAATTGTTCTGCAATGACCAGTATCACCTCACTTCGTCTTGCTTCTAATAATTTTCTGGGTCCAGTTCCTGATGGTCTATCCTGTTGTCAGAGCTTGAGAAGTCTGGATCTTTCACGCAACAAATTCACCGGTGGGATTCCATTCCCCTTCAAAAAGCTACAGGCACTGAAATTCCTCTCTCTCTCAAACACTAGCATCAATAATGTAACGACAGCATTTGAGATTCTACAAGACTGCAAGAATTTGACCATATTGGTCCTTGGTTTGAACTTTTATCATGAACAGATGCCTAGCAACGTCAGTTTGCAGTTCAGAAGTCTTAAGGTAATTATTATTCCATTTTGTTACCTTAGAGGTTCTCTTCCAATGTGGTTGAGGGGTTGCAAAATGTTGCAATTTCTGGATCTGTCTTGGAATTCTTTGGGAGGGTCCGTTCCTTTTTGGGTTGGCGATTTCAGATATCTCTTTTACTTGGACTTGTCTAACAATTACTTTTTCGGAGAAGTACCAGAAAGTTTAACTGGACTTGATAGCCTTGTTAACCATACTGTTCAACTGAAAGAACTCCCAGCAGGCTTCCCAGTGGTAAAAGGCATGGAACAAGGTGGGCCGCACTTGTCATATAACAATTTATGGAGCTTGCCACCGACTATTGACTTGAGTTCCTTTTTCTTGCGTTAGTCAAGGAAAGATGTCTCGTGTCATATAGACAAAAAGATGGAAGTCTCCCTTACCACTGCTGTGAAATTAAGTGGGAACAAGGGCAGCTAGCAGTATTTTACAAGCAAATAAATCCAGCTAATACATGCAAAATAAAAATAAAAAATAAAAAAGGTTTGCTAAAATTACAGTATCCCAACAGTATCCCATCTACATCAGTTAGTTAAGACTTTTCCAATTCTGATCCAGTTTGGGCTCATTTGGAAGTCATCGTGGTCCCGTTTCAGCGCAATTGGTTCCCTTTATTTGGAGCAAATCGCACTGTCCAGGTGTTTGGATAACAGCAGTGAGGCGCGAGGGCCTCCATTCATTCACTGGAGGTAAGAGCCTCCGTGCATTTATTGGAGCTTTGGTTGAGATTCAACTGTGGCTTTTATTCCTATTTTGCCCATTATTTTTATTATTTTTTTGCCCTTAATGTTATAAGGATTTTCATGCGATTTGACTTTTAGTTTTTTCATTTTGATTTTTTGATTTATAAATTTTAAAATAATTTTATTAATTTAATATAAATAAAAATTTATTATTGTAGAATAAATAAATTTTATTATTATACAATAAATAATATGTTTATTGTTCATATTGAATTAAAATTTTAAGATTTTTTAATATCATAAATAATATTATAAAAATATATAAGTAATTTATCAATAAACTTTTAAAATAAAGTACTTAATAGTAATTTTTTATTCTCATTTCACTGTCATAATTGTATTATTATTCAAATTTTGTTATTCAAACACATATTTTACTATTAATTTTAATTTTAATATTATAATATTAAATTTTATCGTTATAATAATTAATTTTATTTTTATCGTAATTTTTAATCTTATTAAAACTAATCTTATCATCCATCATCTAAATAGTTGCTTAGTCAACTAGGATGCTTTCATATCTCCGCTCATTTTTATCATCACAATTCTTGCAAACCGTTTGATCTTAGAAACTCATCAGCTGAAATAAGACTTTTCAAGAATTAACCTTTGATGCTTGGCACCCATAGGCTATAGCAATATCCAAATAAAAAGAAAATCCAAAATATCTTCTCGACAAAATGTTCCTAAGCAACAATTCAGTAAGAGGAGAAGGTAATATTTATCTAAGTGGTTGCATTTATATGTACAATGAAAATATAGTTGAGTGATTAAATTTGTATGTATAAATAAATTTGATAGTTTTAAGTATAATAATATGATATAAAAATGATATAAAAATATAAAAATAATATTGTTTAAAATTTTAACAAAAATGTTATGAGTTAAAAAAAAATATTCATATTAAATATATCAATATGAATTATGACAAATAAAATTTTATATTTTACACACCTAAAAATGGAAGTTAAGTATACAACAGTCATCAAGTTAGTAGCGAAGCCAATGACACCAGTAAATTGCTTGTAGCTTACAATGATTAATGCTTACAATAATTAAACATTAATCACTTGTTACACATTGACCTATAAAGAAAAAAGTCCATTAATGGAAAATAATGAAATGATTAATCAACACATTGTTATTGAGGCAGGTACGTGTGTATCAGCTGTTAATGTATTATTTCTTGTCAAAATATTGGTAAACCTTCACTGTAAAACGACTCTCGTGCGGACATGAAGTTTATCAATGGTCATTTTCTTTTTTTGACAGAAACTATGGGTTTATGAACGAACGCGTAACGGGATATGGACAAATTTTGGTTGAACAAGTCAATAAGATCATTTAATCATCTTTCCTAACTCAAGAAGCAGAGAGATGGATTGTCCAAGCTCCCACATAAGTCATGGGTTCTGCTTCCTTCGTCCCCTTAAAACGTTACAGAGGAGACCAAAAAAGAAGGAAAATGTATAACATCATAGCATAGCAAAAACCAGTAACAACTCCTTGCTTCCTTTTGTTAAATTGACCTTCATGGTGATCCCAAAGGTCTCTGTAGCTTTCATTTTGTTAGTTGTCATGTTTGGGCAAAGGATCCAGGGATCTCAACAACCGGCATGCAATTGGAATGACTTAACAGCCCTCAAAGGTTTCATCAAGTGTTTAGAATCAGATATTGGCGGGTGGAACTGGAACAGCCTCAATTGCTGCTCCTGGTCAGGTATCACTTGTGATAATTCCTCTGTTTTAAATGAAAGAGTGGTTGGGCTAGAACTTGGGAACAAAAGACTTTCAGGAACGATATGTGAGAGTTTGGTTGGATTGGAGCAACTAAGAATCCTGAACCTCTCTCATAATTCTCTCGATGGTGAAATTCCTACCAACTTGTTTCGTTTCCAGAACCTGGAAGTCCTTGACTTGAGTAACAATTATTTCGTTGGTTCACTTCCCACCATAATCCATTTGCCCTCAGTGAAGTATTTTGACCTTTCAAAGAATTATTTCTCTAGCATCCTTACCTCAGAAATTTGTAAAACTTCATCTAATATCCAGTATCTTGATCTTGCAAATAACTTGTTCGGAGAAACTTCAACATATTTGGAGAATTGTACTTCATTGCAGTATGTTTATCTCAATGGCAATGGTCTATCTGGAACTTTCCCTGAGAATTTATTCCGGTTACAACATCTTAGAATACTGCACCTTCAAGAAAATAGGTTCTCAGGGCCTCTGAATTACGGAATTGGTAACCTCTCTAAACTCGTTGAATTGGATATCTCTTCCAATGGCTTCGATGGAAGTCTTCCAGATGTTTTTGGGAGACTGAGAAAGTTGGAGTCCTTCTCTGCTGGCTCAAACAGATTAAGTGGCTTATTGCCTATTTCTTTGGTGAATTCTCCTTCGATTTTGAAGATTGATCTGTACAACAACAGTATGCATGGTCCGATCAGTATAAATTGTTCTGCAATGATCAGTATCACCTCACTTCGTCTTGCTTCTAATAATTTTCACGGTCCAGTTCCTGATGGTCTATCCTCTTGTCAGAGCTTGAGAAGTCTGGGTCTTGCACACAACAAATTCACCGGTGGGATTCCATTCCACTTCAAAAATCTGCAGGCACTGCAATTCCTCTCTCTCTCAAACACTAGCATCAATAATATATCCACAGCACTTGAGATTCTACAAGACTGCAAGAACTTGACCATATTGGCCCTTGGTTTGAACTTTTATCACGAACAGATGCCTAGCAACGTCAATTTGCAGTTCAGAAGTCTTAAGGCACTTATTATTCCATTTTGTTACCTTAGAGGTTCGCTTCCAATGTGGTTGAGGGGTTGCAAAATGTTGCAATTTCTGGATCTGTCTTGGAATTCATTGGGAGGGTCCATTCCTTTTTGGGTAGGCGATTTCAGATATCTCATTTACTTGGACTTGTCTAACAATTCCTTTTCCGGAGAAATACCAGAAAGTTTAACTGGACTTGATAGCCTTGTTAACGATACTGTTCAACTGAAAGAACTCTCTGCAGACTTCCCACTGGTAAAAAGCACGGGACATGGAGGGCCGCGCTTGTCATATAACCATATATGGAGCATGCCACCAACTATTGACTTAAGCTTCAACAAGTTTACCGGACCTATCTGGATAAGCTTTGGGAATTTGAAAAACCTTTATGTTTTGAGTTTGAAAGAGAACAAACTTTCAGGAACCATTCCAGATAGTATATCAGGGATGACAAACTTGGAAGTGTTGGATTTGTCTTGTAACAAACTCACTGGCGAAATACCTAATTCTCTGGTACATCTCAGCTTTTTGTCAAAATTGAATGTATCATACAATGAGCTCTATGGGAATATACCTTCAGGAGGTCAGTTTATGACATTCCCTGATTCAAGCTTTGAGGGGAACGAGGAACTCTGCAATGGAATAATTAGACCTTGTCAGACAAAACTGATTCCTCCACTTGTCTCTCCAAGTAAAGGAATGAAGATTGTGGATTGGAATTTTGGTATCGGAGCGGCAGTTGGTTTCGGTCTCACTGTCGCCTTTTGCTTCAAGTCTGGCTGGGTACTTTCCGAAGGATGAGAAGCATATTCTTTATAATATATATATATATATATATTTATATAGCTCCTCTGCTTTTCCCCATATGGTTCTTTCTTCTTCCTTCTGTTTCTCTTAAATTTGTTCATGTTGTAATGATCTAAGACAAACCGTAAAGCATACTATCATAGTTCTAATTTGCTTCTAATTTATGATATTTTCCATAACAGCCACCGTCTGGAACTTCTGCTGCTTCAAGCCATCACCTTCTATGACTCCAAGAGAAGAAAAATGAAACGTCTTGTTACGTCAGCCAAATAATTATATCCTACTATCAACTTTTCAAATTTACAATTTCCACTCTCGCAAAAATAATGATTAACGAAATATGCAGAATCTCTACCTTAAACTTTTTCCTTTCAACTAAAGAATTGAAGACAAAGAGCTGATGCTTTCCACTGAGGTAAAATAATTGGAGACACCATCATTCCTATCATAGCAAAACGTAGAACGGTAAAATTTCTATAATATATGGCTATAGCTGTTAGATGCAATCCCGAAAGCAGCTCGTTCAAACAGGATGCTTCCATTCTCCGGCGCATTTTGCATAATCACAACCTTCCAAGCCCTTTGATTTCTGGAACTCATCAACTGAACTCTTCTTTTCAGGAATTAACCTTATTCTTGCTTGGCATCTATGACATTGAAGTCAGGAATTCAAAAAATTTTCTCTATGAAATAAGTTTTTAAGGGTATGAATGAAGCATTAATCATGCAAGCAGAAGCGCTGTCATAACAAAGTGATGGCTTTCTATCCTCTTCCAAAATTCCGAATTGCAAAATTCCGTAGTAACACTTCAATAAGTGCGACAGATTTGTCTTCTTACAGATAAGTTTAAGATAAAAGTAAGATAACGGGCTCAACTTTTGGCATGTATGGATCATGGATGCATATCATGTACTCATTATGGATGATTTATCAAGAAGAGAGCTGGAAGGGATACATTCCTCATCATGGTCTATTGCCATATCAGAATTTAAGGATGGAAATTATCAGGAAAAAGAAACTATACTTTTATTCCCATATATGTTGATGGTTTGGGTTCTGTATGAGATCATCATATTCATATAGTATATATGTTTGTTATGGTTGCACATGACATGAGCATATAAAAAATCCATGATTATAACTATACCATATAACATATATTAAAAAGAAAAAGAATTATTCTTTATCATCTCTTAAGGACTTTTCTAAGCAAAGCCAAAAAACAAATTAGGTCACAGAGTTGGAGGAGGAGTTTTCATTGTTTTCCTTGCGTTAGTCAAGGAAAGATGTCTCATGTCATATGGGCAAATAGATGGAAGTCTCTCTTCCTACTGAAGTGAAATTAAGTGGGAACAAGGGCAGCTAGCAGTATTTTAGAAGCAAATAAATCCAGCTAATACGTGTAAAATTAAAAAAAAGGCTTTGCTAAAATTACAGTAAATACTAAATACTCCCAACAGTATCCCATCAACATGAGTTAGTTAAGACTTTTCCAATTCTGATCTATTTAGGGCTCATTTGGAAGCCATCGCGCTTCCGTTTCAGCGCAATTGGTCCCCTTTTTTTGGTGCAAATCGCACCGTCCGGGTGTTTGGATAACACCGTTGAGGTGCGAGGGCCTCCGTTCATTCACTGGAGGTAAGAGCCATCGTGTATTTATTGGAACTTTTGTCGAGATTCAATTGTGGCTTTTATTCCTATTTTGCCCATTGTTATTATTATTATTTTTGCCCTTAATGTTATAAGGTTTTTCATGCCATTTTACTTTTTTTTTATTTTGATTTTTTTATTTATAAATTTTAAAATAATTTTATTAATTAATAATAAATAAAATTTTATTATTATATGATAAATAAATTTTATTATTATATAATAAATAACATGTTCATTGATCTTATTGATTAAAATTTTAAGATTTTTTTAATATTATAAATAATAATAGAAAATATATAAATAATTTATCAATGAACTTTTAAAATAAAGTACTTAATATTAATTTTTTATTTTCATCTCACCAGTTCAGTAAGAGGATAAGGTAATATTTATCTAAGTGGTTGCATTTATATTTACAATCAAACTATAGTTGAGTGATTGAATTTGTATATACAAATAAATTTGATAAATTTAAATACAATAATATGATATAAAAATATTTTTATTTAGTATTTTAATAAAAAATTTATGAGTTTAACAAAAATTAAATATATATTTCGTCAATATAAATTATGATGTAATAAATTTTATTTTTTACACACATAAAAATGAAAGTTAAGCATACAACAGTCATCAAATTAATAGTGGAGCTCATGACACCAATAAGTTGCTTGTAGCTTGCAATGATTAATGCTTACAATAATTATTACTTTAATGACTTTAAACATTAACCATTTGTTACACATTGGCCTATAAACAAAAAAGTCCATTAATGGAAAGCAATGAAATGATTAATCAACACATTGTTCTTGAGGCAGGTACGCGTGAATCGGATGTTAATGTATTATTTCTTGTCAAAATATTGGTAAACCTTCACTGTAAAACGACTCTCATGCGGACATGAAGTTTATCAATGGTCTTTTTTTTTTTTTTTGACAGAAACTATGGGTTTATGAACGAACGCGTACGGGGATGTTGACAAATTTTGGTTGAAAAAGTCAATAAGATCATTTAATCATCTTTGAAGTCAAGAAGCAACAGTGATGGATTGTCCAAGCTCCCACCAAAGTCATGGGTTCTGCGACCTTCGTCCCCCTTAAAACGTTACAGAGGAAACCAAAAAAAAAAGGAAAATGTATAACATCAGAGCTTAGCAAAAACCGGTAACAACTTTTGTTTCCCTTTGTTAAATTGACCTTCATGGGCATCCCAAAGGTCTCTTTGGCTTTCATTTTGTTGGCTGTCATGTTTGGGCAAAGGATCCAGGGATCTCAACAACCGGCATGCAATTTGAATGACCTAACAGCCCTCAAAGGTTTCATCAAGTGTTTAGAATCAGATATTGGCGGATGGAACTGGAACAGCCTCAATTGTTGCTCCTGGACGGGTATCACTTGTGATAATTCCTCTGTTTTAAATGAAAGAGTGGTTGGGCTAGAACTTGGGAACAAAAGACTTTCAGGAACGATATGTGAGAGTTTGGTTGGACTGGAGCAACTACGAATCCTGAACCTCTCTCATAATTCTCTCGATGGTGAAATTCCTACCAAATTGTTTCGTTTCCAGAACCTGGAAGTCCTTGACTTGAGTAACAATTATTTCGTTGGTTCACTTCCCACCATAATCCATTTGCCCTCAGTGAAGTATTTTGACCTTTCAAAGAATTATTTCTCTAGCATCCTTACCTCAGAAATTTGTAAAACTTCTTCTAATATCCAGTATCTTGATCTTGCAAATAACTTGTTCGGAGAAACTTCAACATATTTGGAGAATTGTACTTCATTGCAGTATGTTTATCTTAATGGCAATGGTCTATCTGGAACTTTCCCTGAGAATTTATTCCGGTTACAACATCTTAGAATACTGCACCTTCAAGAAAATAGGTTCTCAGGGCCTCTGAATTACGGAATTGGTAACATCTCTAACCTCGTTGAATTGGATATCTCTTCCAATGGCTTCGATGGAAGTCTTCCAGATGTTTTTGGGAGACTGAGAAAGTTGGAGTCCTTCTCTGCCGGCTCAAACATATTAAGTGGCTTATTGCCTATTTCTTTGGTGAATTCTCCTTCGATTTTGATGATTGATCTGCACAACAACAGTCTGGATGGTCCGGTAAGTATAAATTGTTCTGTAATGACCAGTATCACCTCACTTCGTCTTGCTTCTAATAATTTTCATGGTCCAGTTCCTGATGGTCTATCCTTTTGTCAGAGCTTGAGAAGTCTGGATCTTGCACGTAACAAATTCACCGGTGGGATTCCATTCCACTTCAAAAATCTGCAGGCACTGCAATTCCTCTCTCTCTCAAACACTAGCATCAATAATATATCCACAGCACTTGAAATTCTTCAAGACTGCAAGAACTTGACCATTCTGGTCCTTGGTTTGAACTTTTATCACGAACAGATGCCTAGCAACGTCAATTTGCAGTTCAGAAGTCTTAAGGCACTTATTATTCCATTTTGTTACCTTAGAGGTTCCCTTCCAATGTGGTTGAGGGGTTGCAAAATGTTGCAATTTCTGGATCTGTCTTGGAATTCATTGGGAGGGTCCATTCCTTTTTGGGTAGGCGATTTCAGATATCTCATTTACTTGGACTTGTCTAACAATTCCTTTTCCGGAGAAATACCAGAAAGTTTAACTGGACTTGATAGTCTTGTTAACGATACTGTTCAACTGAAGGAACTCTCGGCAGGCTTCCCAATGGAAAAAAGCATAGAACAAGGTGGGCCGCGCTTGATTTATAACAATATATGGGGCTTGCCAGCGACTATTGACTTGAGTTTCAACAAGCTTACCGGACCAATCTGGATAAGCTTTGGAAATTTGAAAAAGCTTCATGTTTTGAGTTTGAAAGGGAACAAACTTTCAGGAACCATTCCAGATAGTGTATCAGGGATGACAAACTTGGAAGTGTTGGATTTGTCTTGTAACAAACTCTCTGGCGAAATACCTAATTCTCTGGTACATCTCAGCTTTTTGTCAAAATTCAATGTATCATACAATGAGCTCTATGGGAATATACCTTCAGGAGGTCAGTTTATGACATTCCCTTATTCAAGCTTTGAAGGGAACGAGGCTCTCTGCCATGGAATAATTAGACCTTGTCAAACAAAACTGATTCCTCCAATTGTGTCCCCAGGTAAAGGAATGAAGATTGTGGATTGGAATTTTGGTATTGGATTGACAGTTGGTTTCGGTCTCACTGTCGCCTTTTGCTTCAAGTCTGGCTGGGTACTTTGCAAAGGATGAGAAGCATATTCTTTATATATATATATAGCTCCTCTGCTTATCCCCATATGGTTCTTTCTTCTTCCTTTAGTTTCTCTTAAATTTGTTGATGTTGTAATGATTGAAGATAAACCGTAAAGCTTACTATCATAGTTCTAATTTATGATATTTTCCATAACAGCCACCGTCTGGAACTTCTGTACCTTCAAGCCTTCACCTTCTGTGACTCCAAGAGAAGAAAAATGAAATGTCTTGTTACATCAGCCAAATAATTATATTCTACTATCAACGTTTCAAATTTACAATTTCCACTCTTGCAAAAATAATGATCAACGAAATATGCAGAATCTCTGCCTTAACTTTTTCCTTTCAACTAAAGAATTGAAGGGAAGGAGCTGATACTTTTCCACTGAGGTAAAATAATTGGAGAAACCATCATTCCTATCCTTGCAAAACGTAAAACGGTAAAATTTCTATATAATATATGGCCGTGGCTGTTAGATGCAGTCCCAAAAGCAGCTCGTTCAAACAGGATGGTTGCATTCTCCGGCACATTTTGCATAATCACACACCTTCCAAGCCCTTCCATTCCTGGAACTCATCAACTGAACTCTTCTTTTCAGGAATTAACCTTTTCCTTGCTTGGCATCTATGATATTGAAGTCAGGAATTCCAAAAATCTTCTCTATGAAATAAATTTTTAAGGGTATGAATGAAGCATTAATAATGCAAGCAGAAGCACTGTCATAACAAAGTGATGGCATTCTATCCTCTTCCAAAATTCCAAAATGCAAAATTCCCAAGTAACACTTCAATAAGAGCGACAGATTTGTCCTCTTACAGATAAGTTTAAGATAAAAGTAGGATAACGGGCTCAACTTTTGGCATGTATGGATCATGGATGCATATCATGTACTCATTATGGATGATTTATAAAGAAAAGAGCTGGAAAGGATACATTCCTAATCATGGTCTATTGCCATATCAGAATTTAAGGAAAAGCAAGTGATCATTTATCTGGAAAATTATCAGGAAGAAGAAACTATACTTTTATTCCCGTATATGATGATGGTTTGGGTTCTGAATGAGATCATATTGATATAGTATATATGTTTGTTATGGTTGCACATAACATGGGCGTATAAAAAATCAATGATTATAACTATACCATATAACATATATTAAAAAGAAAAAGAATTATTCTTTATCATCTCTTAAAGACTTTTCTAGGCAAAGCCAAAAAACTGATGAGGTCATGGAGTTGGAGGAGCAGTTTTCATTATTTTCCTTACGTTGGTCAAGGAAAGATGTCTCGTGTCATATGGACAAATAGATGGAAGTCTCCTGTCATACGGACAAATAGATGGAAGTCTCCCTTACCACTGCAGTGAAATTACGTGGGAACAAGGGCAGCTAGAAGTATTTTACAAGCAAATAAATCCAGCTAATACATGTAAAATTAAAAAAAAAAAAAACTTTGCTAAAATTACAGTAAATACTAAATAATCCCAATAGTTTCCCATCAACACGAGTTAGTTAAGACTTCTCCAATTCTGATCCATTTAGGGCTCATTTGGAAGTCATCGCGCTTCCGTTTCAGCGCAATTGGTCCCCTTTTTTTGGTGCAAATCGCACTGTCCAGGTGTTTGGATAACACCAGTGAGGCGCGAGGGTCTCGTTATTGGAGCTTTAGTTGAGATTCAACTGACTTTTATTCCTATTTTGCCCATCGCTAGTATTATTTTTTGCCCTTATTGTTTTAAGGATTTTCATGCCATTTGACTTTTATTTTTTTATTTTGATTTTTTATTTAAAAATTTTTAAAATAATTTTATTAATTTAATATAAATAAAATTTTATTATTATATGATAAATAAATTTTATTATTATATAACAAATAATATGTTTATTGTTTTATTGAGTTAAAATTTTAAAATTTTTTTAATATTATAAATATATTAAAAAATATATAAATAATTTATCAATAAACTTTTAAAATAAAATACTTAATAATAATTTTGTATTTTCATCTCACCATCATAATTATTTTATTATTTAAACACATATCTCATCATTAATTTTAATTTTAATATTATAATATTTAATTTTATTATTATAATAATTAATTTTATTTTTATCATTATTTTCAAATTTATCAAAATCAATCTTACTGCTCGTATAAATGAACCCTTAGTCAACAAGGATGCTTCCATAACTCCGCTTATTTTCATCATCACAATTCTTGCAGCCCGTTTGATCTTACAAACCCATCAGCTGAACTAAGACTGCAAGAATTAACCTTTCATGCTTGGCACCCATAGGCTATAGCAATATTCAAATAAAAGGAAAATCCAAAATATCTTCTCTACAAAGTGTTCCTAAGCAACAATTCAGTAAGAGGATAAGGTAATATTTATCTAAGTGGTTGCATTTATATGTACAATGAAAATGTAGTTGAGTGGTTAAATTCGTTCATATAAATATATTTGATAATTTTAACTATGATAATATGATATAAAAGTGATATAAAAATTATAAAAATAAAATTATTTAAAATTTTAATAAAAATTTTATGAGTTTAAAAAAAATTAAATATATATTTTATATTAAATATATCGATATGAATTATGATATAATAAATTTTATTTTTTACACACCTAAAAATGAAAGTTAAGCATATAACAGTCATCAAGTTAATAATGGAGCCAATGACACCAGTAAATTGATTTTAGCTTACAATGATTAATGCTTACAATAATTATTGCTTTAATGACGATAAACATTAATCATTTGTTACACATTGGCCTATAAACAAAAATGTCCATTAATGGAAAGCAATGAAATGATTAATCAACACATTACGTGTGTATCAGATGTTAATGTATTATTTCTTGTCAAAATATTGGTAAACCTTCACTGTAAAACGATCTCATGCGGACATGAAGTTTATCAATGGTCTTTTGTTTTTTGACAGAAACTATGGGTTTATGAACGAACGCGTACGGGGATATGGACTAATTTTGGTTGAACAAGTCAATAAGATCATTTAATCATCTTTCCGAAGTAAAGAAGCAACAGTGATGGATTGTCCAAGCTCCCACAAAAGTCATGGGTTCTGCGACTTTCGTCCCCCTTAAAACGTTACAGAGGAAACCAAAAAAGAAGGAAAATGTATAACATCATAGCATAGCAAAAACCAGTAACAACTCCTTGCTTCCTTTTGTTAAATTGACCTTCATGGGCATCCCAAAGGTCTCTTTGGCTTTCATTTTGTTGGTTGTCATGTTTGGGCAAAGGATCCAGGGATCTCAACAACCGGCATGCAATTGGAATGACTTAACAGCCCTCAAAGGTTTCATCAAGTGTTTAGAATCAGATATTGGCGGGTGGAACTGGAACAACCTCAATTGCTGCTCCTGGACAGGTATCACTTGTGATAATTCCTCTGTTTTAAATGAAAGAGTGGTTGGGCTAGAGCTTGGGAACAAAAGACTTTCAGGAACCATATGTGAGAGTTTGGTTGGATTGGAGCAACTACGAATCCTGAACCTCTCTCATAATTCTCTCGATGGTGAAATTCCTGCCAACTTGTTTCGTTTCCAGAACCTGGAAGTCCTTGACTTGAGTAACAATTATTTCGTTGGTTCACTTCCCACCATAATCCATTTGCCCTCAGTGAAGTATTTTGACCTTTCAAAGAATTATTTCTCAAGCATCCTTACCTCAGAAATTTGTAAAACTTCATCTAATATCCAGTATCTTGATCTTGCAAATAACTTGTTCGGAGAAACTTCAACATATTTGGAGAATTGTACTTCATTGCAGTATGTTTATCTTAATGGCAATGGTCTATCGGGAACTTTCCCTGAGAATTTATTCCGGTTACAACATCTCAGAATAGTGCACCTTCAAGAAAATAGGTTCTCAGGGCCTCTGAATTACGGAATTGGTAACCTCTCTAACCTCGTTGAATTGGATATCTCTTCCAATGGCTTCGATGGAAGTCTTCCAGATGTTTTTGGAAGACTGAGAAAGTTAGAGTCCTTCTCTGCTGGCTCAAACAGATTAAGTGGCTTATTGCCTATTTCTTTGGTGAATTCTCCTTCGATTTTGAAGATTGATCTGCACAACAACAGTCTGGATGGTCCGATCAATATAAATTGTTCTGCAATGACCAGTATCACCTCACTTCGTCTAGCTTCTAATAATTTTCATGGTCCAGTTCCTGATGGTCTATCCTCTTGTCAGAGCTTGAGAAGTCTGGGTCTTGCACACAACAAATTCACCGGTGGGATTCCATTCCGCTTCAAAAATCTCCAGGCACTGGAATTCCTCTCTCTCACAAACACTAGCATCAATAATATATCCACAGCACTTGAGATTCTACAAGACTGCAAGAACTTGACCATATTGGGCCTTGCTGTTAACTTTTATCACGAACAGATGCCTAGCAACGTCAATTTGCAGTTTAGAAGTCTTAAGGCACTTATTATTCCATTTTGTTACCTTAGAGGTTCCTTTCCAATGTGGTTGAGGGGTTGCAAAATGTTGCAATTTCTGGATCTGTCTTGGAATTCATTGGGAGGGTCCATTCCTTTTTGGGTAGGCGATTTCAGATATCTCGTTTACTTGGGCTTGTCTAACAATTCCTTTTCCGGAAAAATACCAGAAAGTTTAACTGGACTTGATAGTCTTGTTAACGAAGCTGTTCAACTGAAAGAACTCTCTGCAGACTTCCCACTGGTAAAAAGCATGGAGCAAGGTGGGCTGCGCTTGTCATATCGCCATATATGGAGCTTGCCACCGACTATTGACTTGAGTTTCAACAAGCTTGCGGGACCAATCTGGATAAGCTTTGGGAATTTGAAAAACCTTCATGTTTTGAGTTTGAAAGGGAACAAACTTTCAGGAACCATTCCAGAGAGTATATCAGGGATGACAAACTTGGAAGTGTTGGATTTGTCTTGTAACAAACTCTCTGGCGAAATACCTAATTCTCTGGTACATCTCAGCTTTTTGTCAAAATTCAATGTATCATACAATAAGCTTTATGGGAATATACCTTCAGGAGGTCAGTTTATGACATTCCCCGATTCAAGCTTTGAGGGGAACGAGGAACTCTGCAATGAAATAATTAGACCTTGTCAGACAAAACTGATTCCTCCACTTGCATCTCCAAGTAAAGGAATGAAGATTGTGGATTGGAATTTTGGTATTGGAGCGGCAGTTGGTTTCGGTCTCATTGTCGCCTTTTGCTTCAAGTCTGGCTGGGTACTTTCCAAAGGATGAGAAGCATATTCTACACACACACACACACACAAAGATATGGGGAAAAGCAGAGGAGCTATATATATATATATGGTTTTCCCCATATGGTTTTTCTTCTTCCTTTTGTTTCTCTTAAATTTGCTAATGTTGTAATGATCGAAGATAAACCGTAAAGCATACTATCATAGTTCTAATTTGCTTCTAATTTATGATATTTTCCATAACAGCCACCGTCTGGAACTTCTGCAGCTTCAAGCCTTCACCTTCTGTGACTCCACAAGAAGAAAAATGAAATGTCTTGTTACAACAGCCAAATAATTATATTCTACTATCAACTTTTCAAATTTACAATTTCCACTCTTGCAAAAATAATGATTAACGAAATATGCAGAATCTCTACCTTAACTTTTTCCTTTCAACCAAAGAATTGAAGACAAAGAGCTGATGCTTTCCACTGAGGTAAAATAATTGGAGAAACCATCATTCCTATCCTCGCAAACCGTAAAACGGTAAAATTTCTATAATATTTATGGCTGTGGCTGTTAGATGCAATCCCAAAAGCAGCTCGTTCAAACAGTATGCTTGCATTCTCCGGCACATTTTGCATAATCACACACCTTCCAAGCCCTTTGATTCCTGGAACTCATCAACTGAACTCTTCTTTTCAGAAATTAACCTTCCTTGCTTGGCATCTATGACATTGAAGTCAGGAATTCAAAAAATCTTCTTTATGAAATAGATATTTAAGGGCATGATTCAAGCATTAATGGTGCATGCGGAAGCACTGTAATAACAAAGTGATGGCTTCGCTATCCTTTTATAAATTCCAAATTGCAAAATTCCTAAGTAACACTTTAATAGGTACGACAGATTTGTCCTCTTAAAGATAAGTTTAAGATAAAAGTAAGCTAACTGGCTCAACTTTTGGCATGTATGGATCATGGATGCATATCATGTACTCATTATGGATGATTTATAAAGAAGAGAGCTGGCAAGGATACATTCCTGATCATGGTTCTCAGTGAAATTAGAGTGTTCCCCATACTGTCTACAATGGCCAAGATAGTCATGGATGATTCAATGCATAGAATGGCTGTTATGGCATCTAATCTAGTGACCTCAGTTCTGAACATAAGCCTTGCATATGCTGAAATATTAGCAGCATCAAAACCATTATTGATGATCGGATACTGCTGCAACTTTTGCAAACAACAAAGTCCAATGGATATAATGTCTGCAGAAAAAGATGTTAAATCAACACATTCTCCAACGTACCTTGAGCCAGGTGTATCAAGCTTTCCAGCATCCGCACTGTTGTTCTTGCTGCATTGTCCATTATGGTGTGGTCAAAGTGAATAGAACAATGACAACTGTGATCTAGTAGAAAGGATTTGTGAGGAGGAACCTGCATTATGGGTGGTTGATATCCTTTGGAGTTGATAACAGCTTGAGATAACCTTTTAAGCCTCTTTTGTAAGCACTGGTTTACAGTGATTCTGGAGCTTTAGTTCCAAAAGCTTTGCAAGCTAATATAGATAGATATACAGAATAAGTTTGAATCCAGCACCTTTCAAGTGCAATATGCTTGCTTCCAGTAGTAACTTGTAAGCAACAAATTTCTTGGAATGCCTTTCTAATAACAGAAAGTTTGCCGCATTACCAATTCACAGCATGCAACAACATTGCAAATTAAAATAAATAAGTACTAATAAATAATGTAACAATCTCATTTTAAGCATAAGAGTTTAATTAGCTACTGCAGTAGTCAAGGAAATACGAAAGTCTTAACATCAGTCCTAGACGTTACATTGCCCACTATAGCAGCAGTTGCAATCTATACAAACATCATTAACTCAGGCCTACTATATATGTTGTTCTGCTCGTTGTTCTGCTCGTCCTCTAGAATAGGATAAGCAGCAACAAGAGCATCTTGAGATCCAATATAAAGCGAGTTATAAATCTTCCAATAAACTTCCCTAACCTTCCGGGCAGGATGGAAGAGACCTTGGAGACAGTAGTTTAGCACAACTGCAGCACCCAAGGCCACCCTCATCCCTTCAATGGCTTCCACGACAGCATTGATGACATGAGGGGAAGTCTCAAATATGTTGGGCCAGACATAGTTCAACAAGTGGACTAAAGCATCCTCACAACCTAACCCGGCAACACCCAAAGCCATGTGCTTGACAGCTGAAGCTGCAGTCTGCCTGTGAACCAAATCTCTGTCCATAAGAGCATCCTCAAGTAATGGTGTCACAGCATAGATGTAATCTTTTCCCATTTCACCAATATACTCAAACAGGAAGGAAAGAGATTTCAGTACACCATTCTGCACATTTAGTTCTGGTACACGGTACTCATTCATCAATGCTGGCAAAACTGTAAAAGGTGAACATGTTTCTGCAACAATTGCAATTGCCACAGTGGTGCAAACACGGTTCTGACGTTCCTGCACCTTGAGATTATTTAACAGAGTTGCCAAGACATCTTGTGGGCCAATGGCTTTAGCAATATATCCAAAAGTATTGACAGTAGCTCTTCGAATACCCTTCTTGTGAGCTTTAAGCATCTCAAGAAGCTCAAAACAAATCCTCATCCACTCTCTAGCCGGGACAAACTCTGCACCTCGATCAGCAATACGGCCAACCAGATCAATACAGTTCTCCTGGACTTTCTCATGTCTATTTTTCAGAATTGGTGTCAACCTTGGAAGCAAATCCTTGATTGGGGGTGTCATTTTTGTCATACCAATAACATTGACAATTGCCTTGAGGGCTCCTAAAATAGATCCCAAAACTTCAGGGTATTCCTCTCCTAGATACTCATATAGAACAACCCCAAGATGACCCATCAATTGTTCCTCTTGGCATTGTTTCATAACCACTGCAATTCTTGAAATAAGATCAGCTGCCTGCTGCCTGACCTTGGCACTCTTGTTATTCAAGCGCCATTTTATTGTACCACAGATCTGGGGAAGATAAGGCTTCACTCTCTGCCCAAGTGAATTCACAACAGCACCAAAACCATTAAGCATCACATTGGCATCATCACTAGTCTGCTCTTGGAAAGCATAAAGAATACCATCAATCAAAAGTTCCTCCAACCTGGCATCAATGTCAGATGCGCCCAAGTTTGCAACTACCTTCTCAATCGTTTCCATTACCATACGTCTGTAGGGTTCACTCTCATCCTTAAGATCCTCTACTATTCTCCCTACAATATCAGCAACACCTACTTTGTTCGCCATCTCAACAGTTGTCTCAACAAGCTGCCTATAATTTCTCCTGTCTAAAGCCATCCTTCTCACCCAGAAATTCCTAAAGAACTCAGGTAGAATATCATTCCTAATATAATCAGCTTCAACACCCTCTGTGCTCACACATTGCTTCACAACCTTAAGCACAATTTTCTTCATTTCTTCATCAGGAGACTGGAACTCACGGATAAGAATAAACATAACTTCTTTTGTATAGTAACTTGCATAAATTGCATCCATTAAAGGAATGATAAAACCAATGGCCTTCAAAAATGCAGCCAATACTTTACCTCGGTGAGACCTTATACCCTTCCACAATGGCTTCAAAACTGAGTCAAAGCTTTCAATACCATAGGGGGCAGCAGCCTCAGCAAGAGCAGCCAAAGACAACGCGGTGATTGTTCTCACCTTCTGGTTCTCATCATTCAAACCATGTTCTATGATTTCTACAAGGGACTTCAAGTGAGGAAGAACAGCACAACCAATCAAAATAGCAATCTGCTGAACAATCTTGATCCCAGTGTGCCTAGCTTGCCACGACTTCTTACTTTGACACACGGCTTTCAAAAATGGTAAAAGTGCAGGAATCCCAAGTGCAGAAGCCACAACACTAAAAGCTCTAGCAGTTGTATTCCTAACATATTCATCAATGTTGTCAATGTCAGGACGCATTGCAGCAATCATGGTGGCCAAACCAGCCGCCTTACTGAGATTAGAAATGATCTCTCTACCCTCCACACGTGCATAATAATCTTCATCAATCAACAAGGGCTCAATCACAACAAGAATCTTGTGCACATAAGGCCTAACCAACTCATCCAGTTTATACAACACCCTATCAATAACCTTAACCAAGAGATGCCTCTCTTGATCTTCCAATGTTGGCTGCATTAGCAAAGGCAGTATCCTATTAAACAATGCACTAGCACCAAATTCTCTTGCCTTATCAGTGAGCTGCCTCAAAGCAGTTTTCCTCTGCGGTGGTGTCCCATTCTTTACCTTCAGCAAAAGCTTCATAATCTTCCGCTCCTTCTGCTCCTCTGGTTTCAACTCCTCTTCATTTTCCTCATTCAACAATGACCCAAAATACTGATAATCCTCAGGCTTCATAAATGGCAACCCACCGGGTGCCTCCTTAGGCACATCGAACTGCTGCCCACGGTTCTCCTCAGGTATAGCATAAAGTGGAGTTCCCATAGGAGTTGGAGTAGCAAGAAGCTTCCGAGCAGGTGTCCTAATAGGCACATAAGAAGCAGGCGGCTCCAAAATCTTATAACCTTCCTGTGGAAACATAGCATCAAGCTCCTCATCAGTCAATGGCCGATTCCTCTCCTCAATATCCTTCTCCCACCTCATCAAATTATACTGCTCCGGAGTCATAGGCCCCCGAAAATTCCCAGGAGTCGGTGTCTGCAAATCAGTACCACCAAAAGGAGTAACCCCGGGTGTGAGAGGAACAACTGGTGTAGCCCCTGCCATCGGAGTCGCACTCCCCATGGTTGCAGGAGTCTCATCCCACCTAGATCTCTGCCGTTTCGGTGTAGGAGTAACCAACCCTTTTGGAGTAGCATCCCATGTAACCCCGGCTGGTGTTGCCCCAGGCGTAACTCCACCAGCTGGAGTGGCATCCGAATCAGCCAACCGCCCCGGTGTTGGTGTCTCATCCCACCTATTCCTCCTCCCAACTGATGGGGTCGCATCCGACACTCTCCCTGGCGTAGGCGTAGCATCCCAACGCCCAATCCCAGGAGTCGCATCAGGCAAGTCCCAATCTGAAGTTGTTTTAGCCTTCTTTGCCGCAGAACTCCCATCATCTTGAGACTGGTCCCACCTATTCCTCCTCTTAGGCACCGCAGCAGCAGCAGCCCCACCGTTCTCCTTCTGTGCCTTAGCCGCTTCCTCTTCTTCCTTCTTCTTCTTCGCTATAGCTCTCAAAGTCTCTTCCTTTTCCCTCGCCAATGCCTGCTCTCTCATCACATCCGCATACGTCCTCACTGAGGGGTCCGGCGTCTTCTCCCCAGAGGCAAACGCATCGTGTCTATCAGGAGAGATGACTTGGTTCAACCTCCTCCTCCTATACTCATCTTCACGGTCAATAATTTTTGCAGGTTTCCTAAACCCTAACGAGTTATCGTCCTCTTCGCCACGTGGCATCTCTTTGAGTAGTGATTTGGGAGCCGTATAAGATGCAAGCTTACGAGCAACCTCGGAATCCATGGAATCGAGATTCGTATCGTCTTCATCGTTGACAGGAATCGAAGTGACGTAAGCATCCCTGTCTGTTCCACCATAAAGATCCCGATCGAAAGTAAGGGAGGTAAGAGAGGCGAGCTCCTCCTCCTTTCGCTGTCGCTCTTCTTGCGTTTTTGCAATCTCACTTTCAATGTCCATAACTAGGGTTTTTTTTCAAAATTTTGAGAGGAAAATCAATAAAATTATCTAAAATAATAATAATAAAAAAAGGATAGATCGTTTTGCGAGTAATAAAAAGGAATATTGAAGTTCGAAAGAAAATGAAACCGAGACTGACCTGAAGGCAGCGGTCGATACTTGAAATGGTTATAATGTCCTACGCTGGAGATCTTTAGGAATGCTTTATCGCGGAGTTACACCGACTTGAGAACTGAAAAAAGAGTCCGTTTGGTTTTTTGGGTCGGGTTTGTGTGTGTACACAGGCCCAGTACTAATCTAAAACAAAATTCTAAGCCCGATGGTTTGTTTTACATTATATTAATACATTTTCTCCCTTTTTTTGGCCTTTACATTTTTCTCCCCTAAAATTATATTTTATTTATACATATAATTGTATAAAATACAACTAATTAAAATTAATTAAGCTCATATAAACCAAAATTTGAATTAACATGTCAAAATTGTCTCATACGCAACATAAATCATATTGACATTAAATTTATTATTTTTAATATTAACGTAAGATTGGAACTCTGATAAAAAATCAATTTAAACTGTAACTCTTTGTTATTTATCATTTAATGAATTTTACAATAAAACTATAATTTTTAGTTATCAAATAAATCGATTTAATATTATATCAATCTTTTAAATATTTATAATAAAAATGTTTTAAATAATAATTTAAAAATATAATAAATATAAAAGTCTTTTATTTTATAGATATAGCTTAATTTTTATCAAGAAACTTAATGATTTAATATTTTTGAAATGAATTGAACTTGAATTTAGTCAAACTGGATCAGATAATTATTTCAGATAATTATTTCAGATTTTATAATTCTTTCTTTTATTTTTAAGTTATAACCTCTTTGTATAAAAACATATTTTAAAATTAATTAATTTAATCTTAGGGCTAAATTCATTGTAACGTAATTTGTTATGTTTTTGTGAAAAAAGAAGAAATAAAATGACTTATTTGGGTTATTTGTACTTTTTACTTGTGAAATCAGAAAGAAAATGGTCGATTTTTGTGTGGCTGTGGGGACCGAAACAGCTGGCAGAGCTGGGCTTGACGATTTTGACTTTGCATCTTAGCAATGGGATTCATATTCCCAAACACTTTTCTTCTTGACCGACTGGTTCCTTCCCTCCGGACTATGGCTTTAGGTTTCTTACGAGTATATGGATTTTCTTTAATCAACATTCGGAATAACCAATAGCAGAAAAATTTGAATTTGAACCCTCCCTTCAAATAAAATGAATTGAATTTGGACTATCCTTTGAAAATCAAAATGAAGAATAAATCCGAGCGGGTCCATTTGACAGTAAAATCCAACGAGGGAGAAAGAAACGGAAAGGCAATGAACCTCTCTTGGATTTGGATGTTCACCTTCAAGACATGAAATTAAGAAGGTATTGCAAACAAATAGTAATATATACCATAATTAGATCTGCCGATTGATATATTTGTGTAATATAAATTACTAAAATTCGTTTACGAACATAATATTTTATATGAAAAGTACTTATCACAATTCATATCGATACAAAAATATAAAATATATTTTTTTTAATTTTGTTAAATCTATATATAATTATTACTAAAATTTTAAAATATATCACTTTTGTGTTCTATTTTCATAACGTGTTCATATCGTATTACTGAGTCGTCTTTTAGATTGTCAGGTCTAATCATAGTAAGGCTCTACAATTATGTTTTATATTAACCTATGCAGCAGTGGCGTAAAACCCTGGAAGACCAGACCATCTTTGGCATGTTTTAATCTCCAGGTAAGCCACGTTTCATAGCATACATTCAACTAAAATTAATCCTATAATAATCGCGATTCGTTTTCCCCTTCCAATTCTAAGCATCCAGGAGATTGATTCAATGCAATCAGCAGTTGTGTTAAAAACCAGTATCTACCAATTTCTTGACATAAGCATGCATGCTTAAAGCAAGCTAGATGAAGCAAACGGCAGATATTTCGGCATCAATCAAAAGTAAGCAAAGGTCAAAGAGAACAAACAGAAACAAGCATATTCAATATAGTGCACAAAAGGGGTAAAACAACAAAAGCTATATAAATATGAATCTGATACGTCCAAGAAATCATCTTCCAAACATTAAGCTTAGAAAATATCTCAATCATCAGCTCCCTTATTGTCAAGGAAATAATTAAGCAAGAGTGCACATAGCCTCAATGCAATTAGAAAGCTTCAACACGAAAAGAATAACCAGTGAAATACTAATAAATTTTTAGCAGAAATTTCAAGGTGCATATACCGAGGCATCATTTCCTAAAAACAAGTAACAAGAGGAATAGTGGGACCAAGCAACTTCTCCATACAAAAACAACCAGAGAAGAAAATTACTATCACAAAGATTGGCGACTTCACTGTTGTTTCTCATCCTCATGTTTGGGAGCTTCTTTGATCTCATCTGTCCCATCATCCTAAATGCATTAAATATATAGTTAGTTAAAGAAATTCATTATAAATATATATACATATATATATATATATATATACAGAGATGGAAGAATACGAATTCAAAAAAGAAAAAGAAATGTGAGGGCTCTAACCTGCATATCTGAGGTCCATAAAGTGAGGTTATCACGAAGAAGTTGCATTATCAAAGTGCTGTCCTTGTATGAATCCTCTCCAAGAGTATCCAACTCCGAGATGGCTTCATCAAAAGCCTGAGGAAAGAAACAAAACATGTTGACTAAATAGAATTTGAAGACAAAAGAAATGAACTCCAACTGGAGAACAAAAAAGGATTTGTAATACTATTTAAAGGAATATACATACACACGCTCTGTCTTTGATAAACAAGATGAATATAGAGACTAAACTAAAATTCTGAAGTCTTATTATCCTACCTGTTTCGCAAGATTGCAAGCACGATCGGGAGAATTTAAGATCTCATAGTAGAAGACAGAAAAGTTCAGAGCCAATCCTAACCGGATAGGATGAGTTGGGGCCAGCTCAGAATTTGCAATGTCCTGAAAAGAAAACAGATCAAAAAAGGCAAGATAACATCAATAAAGGACCGGAACTATGGACAAAACACAAGTCATTATCACTTTAGCAAACTCAAAAACCAAAGATAACATGAGAAACTAATAATAATAACAGATCCAGACAGATTGCCAGGCCTTAAAGAAAAACAATAGCAGTAACAAAGATCTACATAAACAGGACTTACATCAATTTGTGACATGACTAGAAAATGCTCAATAAACCGAAGCACCTGATATTGCACTCTATGAATTGAATTAATACAAAGGAATTTTGAATTTTAAGTTGGGGGGGGGGGGGGGGGAGGCTGAGGAGAGAAGTGACTGGTTCAAAAATAAACAAAATTTTCCTTGGCCCCAACAAGTAATTCAGTTATGCACTTAAAGAAATAACTAAAATAAAATTTTCAATAACACAATAGAAATATTTAATATACAAAGCTAATTCAAGAGCCATATTATTGAGACCATTTTTTCTTGCTAATTTTCATAAAATTTCTATAGAAATTCGAGGTGATGTCTTCTAACGCTTATGTTTCCTAGTCAAGCTACGCAATGGAAAGCAGATCCCGATCTTAGCGATAAGAAATAAACAACACATCAAGGGCATAACTGTAAACGTAGATCAATAAACTGCATTGCCCCCAAATCAAACTATGCCGCAATTAAGCATAAACCAGATTCAAAAAATTAAACACCTATTCACCATAATTCACATTTAAAATTAATCAAACCTTAAAGTTAAACCAAATCAAGGCAAACAAATGGACAGGGTCGAAAAGGAAATTACTGAAATGCCCACAAACCTGAGCAGATTTATACGCAGTGAGCGTATTCTCAGCAGCAGCTTTCCTGTCATCGCCAGTATTGAACTCAGCCAAGTACCTATGGTAATCTCCCTTCATTTTCAGATAAAAAACCTTGGAATCCCCGTTTCCGCATCCCGGAACAAGCTTGTCATCCAGAAGCTTCAATATACCAGCGCAAATCTCGGACAACTCGGCCTCGATCTTGGCCCTGTACTCGCGGATGACGGAAACGTGGTCAGCGTTGCCACGTCCTTCCTCCTTCTGCTCGATGGAGGAAACGATCCTCCAGGAGGCACGGCGGGCGCCGATCACGTTCTTGTAGGCGACAGAGAGGAGGTTCCGTTCCTCGACAGTAAGTTCGTCGGGGGCGGGGACGGCGGAGACGACGTTTTCCATGAACTTGACCATCTCCTCGTAGCGCTCGGCTTGCTCAGCAAGTTTCGCCATGTAGACGTTTTCCTCACGCGGGGCCATGGTTTTGGGTGGTGTTTGGATGGGAAATGAAACTGACAAGATTTTTCGAAGGATTGAGATTTGAGAGGTAGGAGCAATGGTAAAGGACCTTCGAAGCGACGACGTTTTTTTATAAACGAGCCAAGGGGCTTCTTTTCTCTCCTCTCCCTTTTTTGACTTTTTTTCCCCCTTTTTCTTTTTAATTTTTTCCTTGCCTAACCGGTTTTACTGTAGACTTTTTTTTAATAAAAAAAGGGAATTTCTTGTTTTAGGAATTTTTTTTAAAATATTGGGCCTATTAATAGGCTTAGTAATATTTTGTAAAGCCTCAGCTCAAACGAAAATCAGGCCTACAGTGAAACTACTAGTGTGAAGACCCAAATGAAATCGGACAATTTAAAACCCAAGAGCCACGCGCTTCATATATAAGGCATCATTTTTATGAACCCTAAATTTTTTTTGTCCCTTATCATCTCTTTTTCGCACGCTGACCTGCCTCTGGTGATTGTGAGCAACAGCAGCAGCCGCAGCAGCAGTTACCAGAGTTGATCCAAAAATGAAGGTGCAACCCTCCCCCTATAAAAGGGAGACTCTAATTTGATTGAGATGCAAAACTCTATTCTTTGTGATTAATTTTATTTCATTTTGTTGTTTTGCAGTTTAATATCGCGAATCCGACTACTGGTTGCCAGAAGAAGCTCGAGATCGATGACGATCAGAAGCTGTAAGTTCAAAAATTTTTTTTCTTTAGTCATATTCTGTTTGGTTGCTGAGAAAGTCGATAGAAAGTCAGGTGAAAGAAAATAAGAAAGCAATGAGAAATATGAAGATTGAACTTTTGGTTACAAATAGCACAGAATCTAAGAGTTAAGTTGAATTTGTGAAGCTTATTGACATGCCATCGTGTAAGTAATATATTGGCGTTATTTTAATATGACAGTCGGGCATTTTTTGACAAGAGGATCTCCCAGGAGGTTGTTGGAGATGCTTTAGGCGAGGTATGTGGTTAGCCATTTGGCAATTTAAATCTCTTTTTGAAGTAATTATTTATCTGTTCGATTTAATTGAAGTTTCCTTTCCATTTCTTTTGACAGGAATTCAAGGGTTACGTTTTCAAGATCATGGGAGGTTGCGACAAGCAAGGATTCCCAATGAAGCAAGGTGTTCTGACTCCTGGTCGTGTTCGGCTCTTGCTTCATAGAGGTGACGTTTCTGCTGAGCATTCTAAAGTAGATAGTTTTCATAGTCCAGTTACTTTGATTTGTTCACTATGTAATTATTGAATATAAGGACATGGAACAGGATGCTTACATAGCTTTTATATATTTATATTTATTTATTTATTATCATCAAGGCATGGGTCTTGGTGGTAATTCTATGTTTAGGCTAATGCTGCTTGTTTTGTTTAATCATGCATGACTTATTTATTTGTTTTTTTTTTTTTTGCATACCATTGTGATCTCTGCTGCTTGGTGTCTTAGTGCTGCATTATACTTTTGTAGATTGGAATGTTAGTTTTTTAGCCTTCATTCATGTCTTCTGCAAAGTTTTTTGGCCTTCATTCATGTCTTCCTGTGCAGAAATGGAAGTTGATTCATTTGAATTGCTTGAGCAGGTACCCCATGCTTCCGTGGATATGGAAGACGTAATGGAGAGCGCAGAAGAAAGTCTGTCCGTGGATGTATTGTTAGCCAAGACTTATCTGTTTTGAACTTGGTTATAGTGAAGAAGGGTGAGAATGATTTGCCTGGACTGACTGACACTGAAAAACCTAGGATGAGAGGTCCAAAGAGGGCATCCAAGATTAGAAAGCTCTTTAACCTTTCCAAGGAAGATGATGTACGGAAGTATGTCAACACTTACAGGAGGACTTTCACCACAAAATCTGGTAAAGCTGCTTTTTATTCCTTAACTTTCGTTTTTAATAAAGATGGCCACAAGATGTAAGAGACTAGGTGGATGCTTTATGTTCTGATAACTACTTAGGCATTATCCTGTTATTTGCTTACTGTGAAATGGTCTGTAACATATAATTATAAATTTTTCTAATATATAGCAGCGTGTTTAATATGCACAGTAAGGTTGAATTTCTGTAATGGTTCCTTCTGTGATAGTCACTGTATTTTCTCCTATGACTGACTGTAATCCATGTGATTGAGTCCAACCATAATTCTAGGTCTCTAGCTTTTAACTTGTTAAAATTGAGTATGTGCATTGTGTCTGCATGCTTCACTTGCCCACCCCATTGCCAACCCTCCTAATCGAGTTGAAAAGGTCTTAGTCTTTCATTTATTCATGCATGGACTATGGAGCATGCAGGAAGTAGGGTATTGGAGATTGGATCAGGATTGGAATTAGAGAGGCTCAGTGAGAGTGATGATTTCTTTATTGAAACGATTACTGATAGCCGTATCTGGGGTTTACAGGTAAGAAGGTCAGTAAAGCTCCAAAAATCCAGAGGCTGGTAACTCCATTGACACTCCAGAGGAAGCGTGCTAGAATTGCTGATAAGAAGAAGAGAATTGCCAAGGCCAAGTCTGAGGCAGCTGAGTACCAGAAACTGCTTGCATTGAGGTTGAAGGAGCAGCGGGAGCGCCGTAGCGAGAGTTTAGCAAGGAGGAGGTCCAAGCTCTCAGCTGCTTCTAAGCCTTCTGTTGTGGCTTAGATTGCTTTTGAAGTTTTGATAAACAATGGATCTTGTCAGTACTTAGTTTTTGTAGTGCTATATGCTGCCATCGTTTTGCCTAGTATTCAATGTTATTATGTTATTTTGAGTGCTGAGTTGTTTTAGATTTTTGTGAATGTTGAACTTGATATTCTAGTGCTTTTGCATTGATGCAATAGAGTAATCGCTCTGGTTTACTAGCTTCTCTGTTATTATCTTTTTGAAAATTAAGGAGGCGAAGGAGCTTCCGAAATTATCAGCTGTCTGTCAGCTTGTACCCGAGGTGTGAAAAGCAAAGCCTTTGTACCCCAAAAATGCCAGAACTGATTAGCATTATATTGCAGTTGATGGCCGCTGAAACAGCAATGAGCCGAGGAATGCACTCAAGTAGTCATAACTCTCGTCCTTCTTCCAAATCAAAATGAACAAAAAAAAAAAAAATCGGTTCCCTTCTTAAACAAAAACATGCTTATTTGCAAGAGAATAAACAAATAAATAAATGAGATGCACTTTTCCAGATGTAATGGAATAGTAGATATGGTGCATGAACTGTCTGATTGCTCTACCTCTGACCTTGTCACGGCTGTTATTTATTGAAATTGATAATGTGGTCCTGCTTCTGAAACCTTTATATATATATATATATATATATCAATTGTAAAAATGAACACTGTTTTAATGGTTCCTAATTGCCTTTATCTACTCACCAAAGTATATTATTTTCGTTATTCACAAGGCTCTCTTCCTCCCCTCTTCTAGCGCAATGGAGAGTGCCAAAATATCAAGTTTTACCCAAATTTTTGCTAAACCCATCAATACCCCTTGACATATCCATGATTTAAAAAAAAAAAAAAAGTCTAAAATTTATCCATTAAAAATTTATCGATAAATTTATCAATTTTATTAAAAAATTTTGGATATGTTCAAAAAATATTTTTTTAAAGTACCTTAATAGTATACATAGATCTGCCTTTTCTCACCCATTTATTTTTCATAACTATAATTGAAAGTGGATTTTGTAATTTATATTTTTGTATAATATAAAATATTAATAATTTGTATATTTATATTATATTTTATATAAAAATTACATCTCATAATATGAAAATATAAAATATTTATTTTTAATTTTATTAAACTTATATATAATTTTTATTAAAATTTTAAATTATATCATTATTTTTTTAATTTATATTATATTTATATTATATCATATTTTAAATGATCGAATATAACTTAAAACTATTCTTTTGTTCCTCGAAAAGAAAATAAGGTATGGTCATAATAGTACTAGTAATAAACAGCAAAGTGAGGTGGTAAATCTCATCCAGTGATCGTCTGTATTATTGTATTATAATTGATGAATTCTAATTTAAAATTTTATATCAAAGGTATATTTATAAGTGCTAAATTATTATATTATTTTTTAATATAACTGAATAATTAAAGATTTTTTTATTACAAAAAAAAATTAACAGTCTTACAAGAGGAGAGAAAGAAATGATGAAATAAAACTACTGTCTTACATTACTTTCAACTAATTTCTTAATCACATACTCAATAATTAAATAATTATAATAAATAAAAATGATAGCCTTTTAGCCTTCCACCCACCCCTACTATTTTTCTTTTTCTCTTTTTATATTGAAATGGAAGTTGCAAGTCACACAAAGGCCCCTACACCCACCCAGCACTATCCTCAAATATCTGCATGTCAATCAGTGCCATGTTAACCATCATCTTCTTCTCTCATCACCAATTTCCGCCATGTGTCCCAAATCACACAAACCTCTTGCATGTTGATGTCTGTGGATCCCACGTAGCCGGCGACAAATATTTCCTTTCGTTAACCCTGTGTGCATTGTACCTCGCCCCGGTACCCTTCTCCACCAGGAGATTGTCTGGATATCCCGGCTACGAACCCGACGCGAACATCCCCGTGCATTCTGAAACCGCCTCTAAGGGAGCGTTGGCAGGCCTCTGCAAATACCCGTTATTAAAACGGATCGGTAACAGTGTTACCAAAAGGGTAGCCAAGTTAATGATCATTCCGTCAACTCCAACGTAACCCGACCCGAACATCCCCGTGCATTCTGAAACCGCCTCTAAAGGAGCGTTGGCAGGCCCCTGCAGATACCCGTTATTAAAACGGATCGGTAACAGTGTTACCAAAAGGGTAGCCAAGTTAATGATCATTCCGTCAACTCCAACGTATCCATTGGGAGCAATTGAAGCCGGGGTTTGGGGACCGTACTAGGCTGGTGAAACCGCCAGGCGCATTGATCACGACACTGCGTCTCCGAGTTTCCAACCCAGATATAGGGTCCATGAATGGGGCCTCGGCCAACACGGGTTGACCCGTGAGTCCCGCACCTCATGAAAAAGCCTTCGACGCCGACATCTTCGGCCGTGAGGATGATGTTGATGGTATTGACACCGATAAATTTGCTGGCCGAGGCTGGTAAATGTGGGTTTTTAAGGATTTTACTGAGCCGGTAATTTTCGAAGAGAATCTGTCTGCCTACAGCTAAGGTGGATGAGCCTGGCTTCAAATTAAACTGAAGTACTCTTTGTTCCACTGTTGAACCTGTGCCATTCTTGTCAATAATTAAACGTACGATCCATGTGTAGGTGAGCATCTAGACATTTAACATATAGCCGCCGTTAACCATTTCAACCATCCTTTGCACTTGAACGAGGATATATATATATATATATATATATAAAATATAATATAAGAAATTAAATGATAAAATCGGATAATGATAATAATTAATAAATCAAATCAATGAAATTTGATTTGATTATTTTAAATAATTTATAATATTATAAAATTTTAAATTTAAATTTTATTTTTATTTTTTAAAATGAAATAGATCTAAATAAAATTTTATTTGTTTAATTTGATTTAATTTTTTTGCTTTTTATATATTATTTTAATAAAAATTTTAATATATTTAAATAAATTTATATAAAATAATTTTATTTTATAAAAATTTAAATTATATTTAAAAAATAATAAAAATATATAATTTAATTTAATTTAATTTTAATTTTATATTTTGATCTAAATTTAATATATATACTTAATATTTGATTTTTATTCAAATCAAATAATAAAAAAAATCTAAACCCAACAATATAATTTTAAATTATTTTTTATTTTTTCAAATTTTTTCGCCTTTTTATTTTTTCAATTTTAAATTAAATGTGAGGATGCCTATTGTCATTTATAGTCGTTCTTTTTCTCTGTCCTCACTCTGCAAACACATCCGACCAATTAAACGCATTATTTTTGTCATACAATGTCTACTGGCTTATAATTTTTGTCATACAATGATCATTCGTCGTTAATTGTATCACTGAATCATAAAATGATTTGGTGGTAGCAAGACAATGATTCTTGACCCGGAGAAGATAAATGTTGAATTGCAAAAAGAACCCAGAAATTAACAAACCTCGGATTATGTTTTGGGCCGGTAACTAAGCAAACTAATTTTATTCTAATTGAAAAAAAATCGTAAAAATCTTGTTAACAGTGCATAAACTTCAAAGAAGATATTAATGTTTAGGTTTGAACCAAGTTTTTTCTTTCTCTTTTCATATAATAGGGCATTGCTTTCTTTTAAAATAAAAAAAATAATAATTAAATTTAATTTTTAATAATCTCAAAATTAAAAACCAAAAGGGTCAAAACGGCATTGGATATAAAAGATTACAAGGAGTCTATTTCTTTCCCTAAGTACGTGCTGGAGTCTCTGATGATCAAACTACCCTAGCAGCTTTCCTGCAATAATTTCTATAAATTGGACCATGGAAAAAAAATAATTTGTATCTAACCCCAGGCTTTTACACAAAATTGATATGAATTATTTTGAATAACATCATCCTTTTAAGTTTCCCTCTAGAAGAGCAGAACTAGCATGTTTCCAGATTAATCCCCACCCTAGTTACTTACAGTAGCAATTACCATTTCCCTGTTTCAACTGCTTAACAATGGTATCAAAATTAGCGTAAGAAGACCCCCCAGGGCTTGTAGCTACCTCAGCCTTTTTCTTCCAATCCATAGCCTTTTGCCTTAAATCTTGCCCCTTCATCCCTTCCATCAACTCCCTCACAAGAGCTTCAACTTTCTTTCTTTTCACATCACTGTCTATTTCCATCCCAATGCTCCACTTCGTACACGAGTAGAAACAATTCATCTGTTGCTCTGCAAAAAATGGCCAACACATCACTGGCACCCTTTCACAAATGCTTTCCAATGTAGAATTCCACCCACAATGAGTCAAAAAGCCTCCTACAGAAGGGTGACTTAGCACTCTCTCTTGCGGACACCAACCCACAAGCTGACCCCTATCGCTTATTGCCTCCATAAATTCCTTGGATAATATTTCTTCTCCACCCTTGACAAGATCTGCCCTGATAACCCACAAGAATGGGTACTTGCTGTCAGCCAGTCCCCAAGCAAACTCGCGCAATTGTTCCGGCGTCATTGTTATCAAGCTCCCATAATTTACGTATACAACCGACCTGGGTTTTCTCTTGTCTAACCAAGCTAAGCATTGGGTGTCTTCTTTCCACAAATTCGATCCGATGGAGTCCAAATTTCCAGGACAAACTTTCCGGTGAAGCATTGATAATGGACCAACAGTGTAGAGCTTGATGACTTTGGTCTTGATGGCATCCAAGACTTCCTGTTCCAAATCATCGAAAGTGTTGAGGATTACAGCTGCAGCTTTCCTGGCATTGTTCACGGATTGTAAGTTGTAATTGAACATTATGTCATCAGGATTCGTGGTTCGAATGAACGTGGGGATATCTTTTAATCTAACTCCTTTCATTGCCGGTATCCAATCAATCAGAGTGTCAAGATATCCATTATTCAAGTGACTCTCATCTGCAAATAATTAAAATATTGAAAAAAAAATAAAATAAAGAAAGAGTGTCAATAGAGAAATTAGACAACAGTACCTTTCAATGGGAAATAACCTTGTTCCTTAAGCTCTTCAAAGTGAAGGTAACCCAACATACCACAAGCACTAGGAGTAAACATAACCATCTCTGGGATGCCAAATTCCTCAGCAATTTCCAAGGTGAAGCTCATGACTCCATCAGAAATTATGCAAGTAATAGGAGGGACATCTGATGAACCATTAAGTTTTATTATCAGATCTCGAAAGGAACGTAACCCCTGAACCGGTAACGATAAGCACAAGTCTGGTAGGTCTTGTATTCGCCGCGGATTTGTTGATGGCAAACCATCAGATATTGTTTCAAATTGGAAATTGGCTAAGCCCCTGAGAGAGTCTAATCCTCTAGAGGTAAGTACGCGTTGGTAGTTGAATTCTGTGTGGACAAAAGTGATATGGAAGCCCTTGAAATGGAGAAGTTTGGCAAGTTTTAACATGGGGTTTATGTGGCCTTGAGCAGGTAGAGGAATACAGACAGCATGGGGCATTACCGGTTCCATATGCCCTTGAGAAAGTGAGTAGCACTGAGGATCAAACTTGTCTATGGTCTAAGCTCCAATGCAAAAAGAAGGCATTTAAATTGATAAGCTTAAAGTAAAAGAAAAAGTTGATGATAAGAGTGTCCCCACTCCACTTATATATGACGGATTACTTCTAACGAAGGGCCAAGAAAGTCAATCAGATGACGCTAATTAAACTTCTTGTTGTTTTCTGTTCTCAAGGGGCAAGAAAATTATTCCTCTTTATTGTGTCAGATCCAAGTATTACTATTGGTATTTATATTTGATTCATCATTCATTATGTTAGTAAATAATAAAATAATAAGTATTAATTAAATTTAAATTATAATTAATAATTTTAAATAATTTTTTTATATATTATTAATTTTTATACTAAATTTTATCAATCTATCTATTTAATTTTTTTTATTATAATTTTATTAATCATTTAAAAAAAATTTCATAAATTTCATCTCACGAACTTCATATAAATTATGTAGATAAGATTTTATCATATGATCATTTCCAATCGCAGTATTTTGACGACGAAATATTTTGTTGTCTTCTTTCTCATTTTGTCTCCTCTCTAGCAATTATAAAAAATCCATCATCCAACGTGTCTTGCATCATATATATGTCGTTATCCTTCTGTCTCATTTTACTTTGTCCCCTTTGAACAATTATAAAAAAAAAAAAAATTCATGATCCAACTTATCTTGCATCAAATAATTTTTGTTATTCTTTTGTCTCATTTTATTTGTTTTTATTTGATTTTAATGGAGTTTTGAAAAAAAAATTTTGATTTTAATGTATTTTATATTAAAATTTTGAATTTTTTAATAAATTTGACAATCATGATTTTTATTGTTAAAAATAAAAAAAAATTAAATTATAAAAAATAAGTGAATTATGTGTTTTATAAAAAGAAAGAGGACACGAGATTTTGAAACATATATATAAACAAAAACCAAAATACTATTTACTAAAAGATTTATATTTGATACATTATTAATGTATAAATTTTATATATTGTCAGTGAATTGGATAATATCATTTTATAAATGAATTGTTATCATCTAATGACATCTTATTAATAAATAATTTTAAAAAAAATTAAAATTTTATATTATTTTAAAGACTGATATTTATTTATCAATAAGATAATATCATTTTATTTACTGACAATATATAAAATTTATATATTGATAATATATCAAATAAAAACTTTTTATTAAATATTGTACGACTGTTACTACTATCATTAGATCCTATTAAATTTTTATCCATGCATTGCATGATTTGGAATTTGAATGTTAGGTAATTAGGTTTTGTGTTATCAAGCATTAATCCTTGTCCGTGCCCTCACTTCACCGGCAGATGAAAACCATCAATGAATACAAGTTTCCATCTCGAAAAACAGTATTAATTCGTGCAAAAATTGAAGTACAAAGGGAAGAAAAACATGATTAATGCTTTCAGTACGTTGTGTTGAATCTTCAATGTGTTTCCCTCTCTCAAAGACTGATAACACAAACATTCAACTATCAAGTCTCATGGGCCTCACTTCTCACGGCTAATTGGCCATTAAGACAAATTTTGAGGAAAAAAGCACAAATTATCGAACTGATCGACCAACCCAAATGACTGTAAGATTAGACAAGCTGCCCACACCCATGTTCTAGATTGGATTGGAGATTGATGTTTGTAATTAATGCCAACAACATATTCTCATTCTGGTCCATGCCATGATTAAAATGCACTAATTCTCAACCCAATCCATCACTCTTGGAACCTTGGGAGGACTCTGTGTAAACGCTGCTTGGGCTTTGTTGCATTAGGTCTCTAAAACTATCATGCCATCCAGGAACATTGTAGGCCGCCAATTTCTTCTGCATTTGCTGCTGCTCCTACTTTTTCGACATTTGCAGACTCAGCTGGCTCCATTGTTGAGGAACTACCAGGCTATCCAGGAAATCTGCCATTCAAGCTAGAAACCAGGTGAGCGGCACTTTGCGATTCCTAGCTGTCACATTTAGACTGCAGTTATATAATTCAAGAAATGACTGGAAACGTTATTGAACATCGATGGTTTTCGATTTCAGGTAAATTAGTGTGAATGGTTTTCTATTTGTCTCCACAATTTTTTACTCAAAATTTTTTTTCTTGTTCATACAAAGGGCATTAAGCTGCCCCAAAACATTTACAATCTGCCATCAATGTCAGCAAGAATAAAACAAAACAAGTCCCTAGGGGACAAGAAACCAAATCAGCTGGGCTAGACAGATCTCTATGTATTATTGACACTCAATTGGCAACCTCGTTATCACACCGTAAGATATGCAACAGACTCAAAATCTTGTTGAAGGCATCGAACTATCGCTAACCACAGCATTTGTTGTGCAGCTAAGACTGACGCAACAATTGTTAAGTTGAGAAATAACTTCCGGACAATCAGATTCAACAATTTGTCCATTTCACATTTTTAGATCTACTGCTTTCTGAAATTGATGATTGGTTGGTTTGACTTCCGCTCTCCCTCTCAGATTGGGTGGGTTTCGGAAACTGGAGACTGAAGAGGGTATATTATTGGAATTTGGACTTTGAAGGGGCTTTTGAGAGAGTAAAATGACAAAACGTATAGCTCCTAACCCAAATTACAAGGGCAAGAAAAGATCGTATAATAAACCCCATTACTACATGCATGCGAGTCATATTTCCCAGCATATTTTCTGGATATATTTTCTCCTGACTCGTAGACAAGAGATTAAGAACCTAAATAGAAGTAATTGACAATAAAAAACTAAAGAAAACAGAAAAAAGTTGTAGAAATTGCAGAAAAGCAACTATTACTATTTTATAAAGAGAACCAAATGAACAATAATCAATCTACACTCTAGCATATTCATGCCACAACCAAAAACAATTCATATATTCTTTGATAAAAAACTAAAAGGTGCATATATATATATATATATATATGTTTATTGACACTTGAAATTATTCCTTTTACCACTAATCGGACTAGGGTTCCGATCGACAACTAAGTTGGGCTAGAAGAAAACACTGTTAAGACCATTAGACACTCCTCTTACACCAGAGCTCAACCAAGTTATTAGGACCCAACAACTGGTAATTTGCGTCACAGTGGTGGATATGTCCTTAATCTATTAGGACGGACCGTATTGTAACTCTTGCTATGTAATGGATTTGGAGAATATCTCCTCCATGACTTCTCAGTGAAACCTTAAACATGAAGGATTTTGGTCTCATGTTCTGGACAATAACACCTTGCTTACTTCAACCTTTCTAACTTAGACTAGGTTGTCATACATATAGATATTATTCATGTTATTCCACCTTTGTTGTTGCTAGCTGTTACAAAAGAGATGGCATATATCCTAACCATTTTATCCTAAAGGTCTCCTTTCTTTCACTTCTCTTTCGTATTCATGTATCTATTGCACCTGAAGATTTCGTTGTAAAAAATCTTTGTGAGATCAACAACAAATACTAACATGATTCTTGTTTAGAATTAGTAGTATTTCTGATCAATTCGTGAATCAGAAACCTTTGGATATCATTGAATAAAGAAAAGTGCAGGCCATTTCCTTTTTTATCTTACTTTAGTTTGGATAAGGTTTTGAAAATTATAAAAGCACAAAACATTGTAATCCATAAAAAAAAAAAAAAGATATGAAATAAAAACATTTGACCGTATCAAATTCTTGATGGGCAATCCTAAAGTGGGAGAAGCATACTAGCACGATCTAAAATGTTCTAAGACTGAGAGAAACCTTAAATTTATAAAAGCATCTTTCTTTTTTTACTAAAAAAAAAAGGACGTGTGAACAGAATTTTGGAGCAGTGACTATTTCAACATCCTAATTGGAGGAATCTCATAAAGTGGCTCATCAGAGAAATTAAAAAATTATGATCCAATGTAAAGAAAGTGAAGGATTGGAGAATTAGGCTAATAACGCTTAACGGTGGATATTCATATATAGTTTGCTGATCAATTTGGTTCCTTATAAAAAGATTGAATTGGTAAGAAGAAATTCCAAAATGGTGGCAGATCAGGTGGCTATCCAGACTAGAATGGAGACGTGCCAGTCTGGTAATTGGACCAGGCATATTCCATCCTCTCTGGTGGGAATTCTTCACTGGCACGGCCTGGCCTTCCAGCACCTCCTTTGTTGTAAAGTTTGTATTGGCAGCATGGGTCTACGAAAATACTTCTGTATGCTCAGATTTAACTTGTCCTAGTTAGTGTATGAGCAAACTATGTGTTGAGCTGTATTAGCTTGACTTAAGGTGGCATCTGTTGTTCTTGTTCACTAAAGTTTCAGTGCGCTTCAATTGAACTAACACATCTGAACCATTGAATTCCGACTATTGTAATTTCGTCCCTCGGATAACAAAGTTTTGCTATTGCAACGGGTAACAGGCATTTCCAAGTTTACTGTATTTTGTAACCGGTATTTAACTGTATGCTTCATGTATAAGATGAAGCAAGAATCAGACAAAGCAGGAGTAAAGCAGAAGCGCTAATCTCATCTGTGTCTTTAGCCACAGGATTAGAAAGGAAACCGGATCTGATTCTTGCTCTTTTATTCTACTAGTTGAAGAATAAAGTAATGAATCGTCGCCGAAAGGTTAAATATATCAATCACTTAATCTTTCATTGTACCACAAGCTTTAAATTTGCTTTTGGTTTTAGATTTTTTTATTAATTAAGATTAATGTTATTAAACTTGTTCATGGGTCTGACCAGTTTGTCATGCACAACAGGTCTAGCCAATTCGGGCCAAGTCGTAGTAGGATTTTTTAAGTCCGATAAAAAGATTAATTTTAATTTTAAAATATATTTAAAATATTTAAAAAATATTAATATAGATATTTTTGAAATTTCTAATAATATTTTGAATGATAATGAATATAAATGAGTTTTGATGAACATACCGACTTGAACCTTAAACAAATCTTACTTTTACATTGACTTAACCTTGCTCGACCTATCGGTCAATTTACGGGAGTTGGAGTACATAAATATATTTGAGATTACTTAGAATTATCCTCTTGTTTAGAAGAAAAAGTAAAAAAAAAAAATAAAATTGAGCATGATCTGTTGATAGATTAGATAATTTTTAATTTTAGTGATCAAATTTTAATTATAAAAAAATATATAAATAATGTCATCTAGTATATTAAATAGAATGATCAGCTAGAAGTGTTGATATCTTATTAATTATATTATTTTATATCAGGAATATATAAAGTAGTTTGATTAGCTTCTTATTTTGGAGGCTAACCTATCTTTCTAAAGAAAAAGTTTTGGATAAAAGTATGAAACTAAAAATATTAATCTATTATTATATGTTTTTATTTACTAAAATAATTAAGCTGGGAAAGTGAGTATTTGAACATGAAATCTCCAATATAGATGTAATATAATTTCCTTAACCATCAAGCTTATAATAAGGATTATTGGACTCACTCGTATGAATAGTTATATATAGTTAATGTACTGAAATAGATAGAAATAATAAAAAGTAAGATGCTAAACTTTCTTAATAGCATCAACATCTATATAATTTTTTAAAACATTTAAAAAATTTTAAGTGTATTATAATAAGAATTTGATACACTATTAGTTAATCAGATGATATCATTAATAAAAAATTTTAAAAAAAAGTCAAAAAATTTTTTTTTTAAATGATGCTTTTGTATATTTATTTTAAAATTTTATATTTATTTATTAATAAAGTGACATCATATAATTTACTAATAATATATATTTACACGTCGACAATGCATTAAATATAATTTTATATTATAAAATAGAAAAGATACGTAGAATCATAAAGATTATGATTAGATTACATATCTAAATTTTAAATTCCAAAGTTGTTAAAAGAATAATAATTAATATATTTATTTATATAAAAGACAAAGCTGGGAGCAAGGAATGACCCTTCGTCTTTGCCTGGCTCTTTTCTCTCTGTTGATTGTTCCATTTAAACTTCAAAAAATAAGTTTCCACCCGATCAGGCAGAGTTTTGCCTAGCCTAATTCAGGCTCGTAAATGCTAGTTAGAGGGTGATATGGAAGGTAGAATCGTATGCCAGCGTTGCAGGCAAAAGTTTTCAGCGTCAACCAATCTTGAGACAGTTATTTGCCCATACTGCCATATGATCAATCCGAATCGAACATTTACGAATCAATCATCTTCCCTAGAGCATGGCAGGATAAGTTACCCGTTTATAGATAACATTATGAAGGAAAAGCAAAAGCTGAAGAAAATTCTGCGCTGTAGCAGGCAGAAACCTGCTGCTTCTGGGTCATCATCAACCAAATACCCTAAGCTTTGTGCTTTCGACTACTCTGGCCCATGGCCGAAGAAACGTGCGGTGCTATGCGGTGTGAGCTACAAGAAGTGGAAATATAGGCTCAAGGGGACCATAAACGATGTGTTTAACATGAAACAATTGTTGATTCAAAACTATGAATTTAAGGAGGAAAATATTCTAGTGCTCACAGGTATTTATTATCAGCCCTACTGGTTTTATCTAGCTTTTGTACGCTTAAACTTATAATTGCATTTGTCCAAGAAAAAGCTGCCTAATTTTAACAAATTTTGTTGCAAACTTGTGTAATTTTTCCTTTTAACATTTGGAAAATAGGTTGTTATATATTAATTTGAACTAACCCAATCAAAGAGCAGTTCATAGGAGAGGAAAAATCAGTCAAGATACAATATTGAAGTATGAGTTTTTAATTATCCAATTGTTTGATTTGAGGTAGTTCTATATATCTAAACTTGACAAAATCATAGCAGCCATCTAATCGGTTCCATCGATGTTTGGAATTGGAGTTGATGAGCTAGGAATAATCTATTTAAACTGCAGAGGAACAGACAGACCCTCGGCTTATTCCAACAAAGGCAAACATCGAGATTAGCTTGAAATGGCTGGTGAATAACTGCCAGGCAGGGGATTCGCTGGTGTTCTATTACTCGGGACATGGCTTACGCCAACCCGATTTTGAGAATGATGAGCGCGATGGGTTCGACGAAACCATCTGTCCGGTTGACTTTCTGAAAGAAGGCATGATTCTCGATAATGACATCTATGCCACCATTGTTAAGCCGTTGACAGTGGGCGTCACGCTTCATGCCATTGTTGATGCTTGCCATAGTGGAACTATTCTCGATTTAGAGCACGTCTATGATAAAGAAAAGTGAGTTTCGCACGTCTGTCCCAAAACTAATCTACGCTCACAATTTTTATCTAATTGGTTTATACCTTTAATATATATAAAAATTTGACCCAATAATAAATGCATGAATCGAAGTTTGAATTTTCTTTTCATAAATAAAGAACAAAAGATTTGATTACCGCTGGACATCCTATTGAGAAATAAAAACAGAGAAATTTGATCCATTATATGTAGTAGCAATTATGTAATTGTTTTTATACAGGTAAATATACATAATGAATTGCATGTTTGGGGTTAACAGGAACAAGTGGATAGACAACAGCCCTCCATCAGGTGTGAGGAAACTAACAAGCGGTGGAAAAGCATATTGTATCAGTGCTTGCGAAGATGACCAGGCTGCTGCTGACACTTCTGTAAGACTTTCCCAATTTCCTTTGTCTTCATAAACATTTTTTTTTTAAATCAGGGAAAAAAAGTTCGACAAAGAAGTCAAAATATGTGCAGGCTTTTAGTTCCAAGTCGATGAATGGTGCAATGACAGTCACTTTAATAGATATTGTCAGAAGCAGACCAAGTATAACATACGGGGAATTACTTGACGAGATGGAAGAACGAATTCATCAAGTTAACATAGAAGGATGCCTTGGTTCAAGAATATTAAGCAGAATTTTTGGCCCCAATCTCACACAGGTAATTAACCTCTCTGATATACTTCAGGTACTTGGCCTCCAACATTCTTCACAATAAACACAAAAATTCACGCTTGATAATTTAGCTCAATGCTAATTGCATGTGTCTGATCTCTACCTTGAAAAAGTCATCTCTATGTAGAGAAAGTCAATATTAATTTTTCCAATATTTTTTTTAAATAAAATAAACTATTAAATTCTTAATTTTAATGATAAAAATTTAATTTCTAACAATCTCAAATAAAAAAAAATAACAAAAATTCGTGTGTTTATACGTAAATATGCAAGAAACAATGTTATATATTAGGATAAATGCAAATATATGTTTATATGCTTATAGTTAATTTTTTCATATATATATATATATATTAGAGAATATTATGATTATTTGATACAGTATATCACTCTTATACACTATCAATTAATAATAGAATAATATTAATAAATAAAAAATAAACTTTTAGGTCCTTAAAAATAAATATTAATAAATTTTATTTAGAGTTAATTAATTATTAAAATTTAGTTCCTTCTTTAATTTTTTTTACTGCCGCTCTTTTCAATATTCTAAAACCTTTATGCCTATTTCCAATCTTGTTATTTTTCCACTGCTTCACTCACATTTTTAACCCTATCTATTGATCTTGTTATAGGATTTACATTGTAAAAAGAAGTCATATGAGACATCATCAATTAATCGACAAATTTCGGTCTTATTCTAGGTTACAGGAAGATCACAGAGTAGCTTCTAGTATTTCCAATACTTTTTCAATTTGCCATAATTTTGGGAAACTTTATTTTATATTTTCCCCCTATGTGCCACACAATCGTTAACTACAGTAGTCAAGTACATGGTTAAGTAGCCCTCATTGTTCTGAACGAGGGAAGAGTATTTAAAAACTCTTTCTTAGGCCAAATCATCTGAAGATTCAATCTCTTAAGGCTCTTGTCATTCCTTGATTTAGAAATTGTTTTGCTTCTATACTGAAAATATTTTGTATCTTTCGTACCTTTCTTCTTGTCATGTTCTTAATGAGAAGATGATTAGCCAGCAAATTTGTACGAGAAAAATAATAATGATCTAACTTTGTTTTAAAAATAATCTTTACCTTTGTAATTGTGAATGAAGCAGCAGAAATAGCAAGGTTGAAAAGAGGTGTGAGGCTTACAAAACATTGAAGAGAGAGTCAGTAAAAAAATTTAGAGGAGAGCAAAATTTTAATAATTAATTAACCCTAAATATATTTATTAATATTAATTGTTAAGGACTTGAAAGTTTAATTTTTTTTTATTGAATAAAGTGTCATCTTATTATTGATCGACAGAATAATACATTATCGATATATTAAAATTTCTCTTGAATATAATAATATACTTATCCCTTATCACACTTTATCCTTACTTGAGTCAAATGAAACTATTATTTTAATCTTACAAGTATTGTTATTTTTTTTATAAAGGAGTCGCAATCTAGATAGAGGAAAAATGGTTGAAGGTGTTCAGATTTAAATAGCAAATTTGATAAATATAATCATTTGAGAGTGATTGTATGGATTAATTGAACTAAATTTTATATTTTAAGTATTGCTATATATATTACATAGCAAAATTGTACATATAATAGTTACCAAAAGTTGTATAGACTACTAGTTTTTCTTTGCATAATGTGGCACTGGGTTTTCTCTATGAATGTATACAGAAGCCTCTACTCTCAGCTTCCGAAGAGTTCGACATTTACCAGAGGAAATTTCGACTATAATTGTTCATATTGGATGCCATTGAAGCAACAAGCGCCATGGATTTTGCGTGGAGCGTTTGAGAGCAGAAGCTTTCATTTGTTATCGATCTTCAAGAAATAACTTAATCAATTACCCATGATATAAGGAAACCTTTGTACACTTCTGATAACAAGAGTTTTTTTATTATTATTATTTAAAGAATAGTTTACAGGGAAATAAACAGTTTAGATTTATCGATAAAAGAGACGAAAAAACTATGACATTAAACAAGATGAAAAGAAAGATTGAAGAGGGTATGTTGCTACTGACGATTTTGGTTTTTCATTTTGTCTTTGTTGGATTGGTGCCAAGGATCAAGATATGTTGCCTCCTACAGTTGTGATGTATGCAAAAAAAAAAAAAAAATGGAAATCCAGAGAGCTGATTGTTTTTTTATCTGCCTCTTGAAAATTTCTAACATTGAGTAGCATTAACTTTTTGATCCTCGTAAAAATGTTGTAAAAATGTCAAAGTGTAGCATCTTTAATAAAAGAACATTTGTCACCACCTGCTCTTATTCTATATCTATATGCTCCTGAGAACTTGATTCCTGAGAAACAACCAAGCGTTTTGGTTCCTTTGTCTTTGGAGAAGAAATCGGCGTTGCAATACAACTGGAATATAAGGCCGCTCGCAATTAACCGCATTCATACGCCTAAATGTGATAAGGTGACTAATGAGGTGATGATCATATAAAAAATCCGGTTTAGATTCATAAAAACCAACAAGACTAAGCTAATATCATCTTCTAATTCCTCAGCATATCCTAATTTGTCATGAATCTTAGAGCAAAAAAATTCATTGTTCATTCCAAAATATGAAAGCTTTTTGATCAACTTTCACATTGTACAATGAACAATAAAGGAAAGAGAAATGTTGTTTTCCCAAAAGAAGTTTTGACATATCACAGATAAAATTTATGAGTTGGATCATGGTCTAGGTTTTACCCAAATAGAGGGATGGGGACATTTGATACCTAAGAATTGATGGTCCCTCCTCTCAAGTAGATTGAATTCTTGTACTCAGAAATTAAAAAAGAAAAAAAAAAGGTTTAATTCTTGCTTCCAGACATTCACCAATAATTTTCTCAAATTAATTTGACATTACCAGGGATAAAACATGACTTCCGTGGAGATTTCTCGGAGCCAAATCCCGAAAGTTTGACGGTGGATACCATAATTCATTAATCTTCTATTATCATTGTTGGATTTGATTTATATTTTATTGTTATTCACAAAACATATCTAGATTAGCAGACCTCATTCTTATACGTTTTGTGCTGCCCGAGAAACCATGCTTACAGTTCTGTATTTGGAGCAACACTGCCGGATACTCAAAACCCAGCTCAATTCTGCGATGTATTTCACAAATTTCAGGCCCTTTACCTTGAGTTTCTCTCTCAAGATGTCACCATTATTCAGTCTGGCTCTGTTCTAAAGATTGTAATGGATAGCAATCAAGTTGATTTGACTATAACCTAGCAGACCACGACGAATCTAATTACCTGCATACATGTGTAAAGATTTTATTCCACCAAAGAAAAAGAAACCAAATCTGGTTCTCCACCAATTTTCTTGCGGGTTCGAATATTTCTAAAATAATGAGACGATAAATCTGTAAAATTTTTTAGAGTAAGAATTGTATGTAAAAATGAATTCTTGTATTATATATATATATATATATATATTAAAATACATCATTAGTCATTGAACTATAATCACATTTTTAAAATGATTGATTATCAAACTATTAAATTTTTTAATCGATTATCAAACTATTAAATTTTTTAATTTAGTAACTAAAATTTGAGTATGAATTTTTTTGTCATCCAACCATTAGTTTTTAGGAGCATGTTAACCTGACAATATCTCACCAATTATCAGTGCAACATTAGAAAAATTAATGACATTACAATGTCATGTGTCACCTGATAGCTAATGTGTCAATGTGTTATTATCATGTCATTAGAGACTAATAGTTGAGTGATAAAAAGATATTTAAATTTTAGTAACTAAATTAAAGATTTAATAATTTAATGATCATTTTAAAAATACGATCATAATTGAGCGACTAACGATATAATTTGGTTAAATTGTACAATAGATCCTCATACTTTAGTCAAATGATAGAATTAATCTCTCTTAACGTGTTTAAATCGAATCTCTATATATTAATAAATTGTCAAATTTAGTCAAATTATTAATGATTCAAATTTTTTTCGTTAAAATTGATAATGTGGAATTTGACTTTTTTTATATAGCATTTTTGTTTATGTGATTGTTGATTTTGCTGACATATCAAACCCACATAGTAAAAAATGATGATGTGGCAAAACTTTTGTCATATTAATATTTTTCGCATGAACTTTTCTTAAATTGTATGGTTCAACCTTGCACATTAGTTAAATGGTGGAATTAGTTCTTCTAACTTAATATTTATTCAAATTTAATTCATATACATCAATTAATTATCGAATTTAAAATTTAGCCTAAAATAAATAAAATAAAACTAAAAAAAAAATTTAATACAAATAGGTCGAGTCATAATAGAGTAAATATATGAGTCAACACTTGAGTTACACTAGACTTGTTTTCTAAAACAACATCACTTCAACTTATTATAAAAACAAAAAACCTTTTATTTTTAATTTACCTTTTTTCCTCTTTTTTATCATCCTCGTTTGCATTTTGCTTTTCTCTACAAATCTCATGCAACTATATTTCAACTAACTTTCTAAAAAATAATAAATAAAACATTAAATGATCATAGAAAAATTTATCTCAAAAACTGTCAATACTAAAAAATTAACCATCGATCCCACCGTTTTGTATTATCGTCTAAAGCAACTAAGCTTAATGCTTTAAAAATTATAAATATGAAACCTCTAAACAAGAATTTCTCAACAAAAAAATTACTTCTAAAAGTTTTTGTTGATTGTCTTTGTTTTTGTTCTATTATCTTGTTAATTGTCGTTGAATTCTCAAAATTTTCCTAAATTAATCTTTCCAAAAAGTTTTCATATTTTCTTGTTTTTCAATTTTTGATTTCTTTTTTATCTTTTTTTTTTTTGACTTTGACCTTTTGGCTTTCATCAACTAAATAATAAAAAGAAAAAAAGAAAATAACACATAATAAATAAAACATTTTTGGACCTTTAAATTTTGGCTTAAAAATCTAATTTCACAATTAAAGCTTAATTGATCCAAAAACGATTTTAGAACCTAATATCGATATAAAATTTGAAGGTTATTTAATATTGAAAAAATTTTCGAATAAAATAGGATGTGCACAATTGCTTTTATTGTTAATTGTGTATTTGGGTTTGATGGGTTTGTTGATTATTGGTTTCTTGATTTAACTTCTATGTTTTTGTCAATTTTTAAAGTTTTTTATTTTTATTTAATTTTAATTTTTTTTATATTTCAAAAATATTGAAAATAGAAATTAACAAAAAAATTAAAAAATCTAAATCTAAATTAATTAATTAATTAAAGAAAGAAAAAGAAAAAATATAATTTAGTTTATGTTGAGCTTATAATTTAATTTAAGATTAACATAATTTGTCAAATTAAGTCTAATTAATAATTCAAATATCCAAAAAAAAGTTTATCTAAATATGAAAAAAAGATCACGATCAAATTAATAATTTATATTTTTTATGTTATTTTACGTCAAATCTTAAATTTGATAACTAATTGATGTATAAAGATCAAATTTGAGCATACATTAAAGTAGAAGGACTAATTCTACCATTTAACTGAAGTATAGAGACGAGTCATACAATTTAAGAAAAATTAGCGTAAAAAAATATTGATGTGTCAAAAATTTTTGTTACATCATTATCATTAATCATGTGGACTTGATACACAAAATCAATGGCCATGTACAACAAAAATTCTACATTATAAAAATCAAAATACCACATTATCAATTTTAATAAAAAAATTTGAACCATTAATAATTTGAATAAATTCAATAATTAATTAAAGTATAGGGATCCAATTTAAATATATTAAAATAAAAGACTAATTTTACCATTTAACTAAAATATAGAGATGTAGTATACAATTTGATAATAAAATTTACCTTTTTTACTGTTACAATTCATTATTGAAACTCATCACACTCTTACAACTCATTACCAGTCAAAACTTAATTTACACGTGACTTACTACTACTACTACTTTTCTTTTGAACTTCTCTTATATTTGAGTTCACGTTATTTGGCTGATACAAAACTAAAAACAAACACTTTGTCATAACATATAGATCCATAAATCTATAACTAGACTTAATAAAAGGAGTTATCACCAATCTTTTTTCTATGTATGATTGGTCACATAAAGAATCTATCATCTTAAGGAACTCTTAAGCTTGACTAAGAGTCGTTAAAAGAATAGGTTCGGGTCTACTAACCAGAATAGGATTCGAGAGTTCAATTACATGTGAGAAAGGTTATAGCACCCCCACATGCCCATCCGAAGGATAATACTATATTATTTTAAATTTATCCTAAGGTATTAATTCTAATGGTTTTAAATTTTATATTGAAATATTGAAAATAATTCTTAAAACTCTTCTATCAATTTGGTAGAATTTTTTAAAAATATTTTCTCACCTCGATAGTATTTAAGAATCTCATTTGTTTTCTTGAAGAGGCTCCGTCTTCAGAAAAATGTTAATTATTTATTTTTTTGTTGAAAATAGATCTAATTATTTCACAATTTTGGCCAAATTAAAAATATTTTCTTGTTTTGAATTTTTAAATTCTCTACCATTTGGACCTATTTAGAAATTCTTTTTTATTTATTTTTTTTTATTTCTAAATTTTTCACAATTTGGGTCAATTTAAAAATTGTTTTTTTCAAAATTTTTAAATTTTCCGCCGTTTGGGCCTATTTAAAATTTTTTTTCCTTTTTTTTTGTTTTCGAAAAGAAAATATTATGACAATTATTTTTTATTGAAATTTCATTTAAATTCTTCCACTATTTGGGACAAATTTAAAGAAATTTCTCACCTAGAGATTTATTAAGAATTTACCATTTGAAATTTCTAAGATTCTCATCATTGGATAATTGTCAAATATTTTCAACCAAAAATTTTTATATTTTTATATTTTTATAATTTTTTTGGATTGAAAATAAATATTGATTATTGTCATTGAAACTTTATCTAAATTATTCTACCATTTGGAACAAATTTAAATAAAATTTTTCACCTAAGAATTTTATAAAAATTTACCAATTTGAAATTTCTAAAAATTCTATCATTGGATAATTAATATTTATTCTCAAAAAATATTTTATTTCTATTTTT